AAAATGATGTATAACTTAATCAGGCCTAGGAGGATAGGATTATGACTGATAAGGGGTTGATCTATTAACAAATGTAACTCTCAAGAATTAATATATTATTTTAATATTAGTATATTAAAATAAAAAATAATTTTTCAATATATAATTTTTTAAAATATTAGAGATTTTTATTTTTATAAAAATTAATATATTTTTTGGACACACTGATTAACATATTTTTATAAAAAATAATATCATCTGATATATTTAGAAGAATTATGTAAATTTATTGTTAAAAGGTATTTTTGACAAAAATATTTATTTTTAACCTATTTATTATTATACATTGTATTACCAAATATTCGATGATATTATCTTATACAATATCATGTCAAACGCTGAATAGTATTAAAATTTAATCAGGTCTTATATAATCATATCTTATATTATCAGGTCTTATACAATAATATCTTATATTATCAGGTCTTATACAATCAAGTCTTATCCTATAATATGTATAAAAAAATACTCATAGTAATTAGCCCCTTAGTTGGATATTGAGATTACTACCTCTGTTTCATAATGCTACAGTTTGAAAATGAAAATGAGGATTCATGAGTTGATATGCGGTGGGAAATTAATAAGTTGTTCAAGATGCCAGCTAAACCAAATATTTGAAATAGTATCGTTCGACTCAATAAGGAAAAATATTTATCATTTTAAGTGAAATTATTGTGTTTTAATGTATATTTGATGGTTCTTTGTATGTAAAAAATATTTGTTATTTTAAATGATATAACTTTATATTTTATAAGTGAAACTACCATATTTTATTGATTTTTTACCTTCTTTTTTTTACTATCCTCTATCTTTCTCTCTACTCCTAATTTTGAAGAGGAGAGAATATAAAATAGAAAAATATTTATCATTTTAAATAGGCTTTAATATTTATACAATGAATGTAGATAAGTTATTTACATTCACTTCCAAAACAATGTCATTTTGGGTTAAAAAATAAAAAATTATAATGAAAAAGACTATTATAACCCCGAAATAAATTATAATTACAAAAATACTTTGATTTTCGTCCCAAAATGATGTCATTTGGGCTCAATGTAGATAAATTATCTACATTGACTGCAAAAAAGTGAACTCTTTTAAATAACACAACTTTATATCATTTTAAGTGAAACAATTGTGTTTTGATAATTTTTTATCTTTTTTTCTTTCAGAATACTCTCTTTTTCTTTCTTTTCCTAATTTTGTGGAGAAGAAAGAATATAAAAAACAATTAAATATACACCAAAATAGTCGTTTACTTAAAATGACATAAATTTATATTATTCAAAGTGACAAACACTTTTTCCATATAAAAAAAGCTAATATTTTTTGCATCTGATGTAGAAAACAATTTCTGTCTCAGACACAAAATTCTCTTTCTCTCTCTTCCAATTTGGTGTTTGAGGTAAAAAAAAATTGTTTGCATCAGATGCATAAATCATTAGCTCTATAAAAAAATTACCAAATATGTAAAAAACACAATAATTTTACATAAAATGACAAACATTTCCCCTTCTTTTAATGTGACTCGATTCATAACCTAATTCCATTTTTAAGAATTTTTTTCGCACGTGTTATTTTTTTTTTAGCTATTCTGAAGATTTCATTGTTCGTTGTGATATTTAAAAATGGGAGAATATAAGACATAGCATTACTTTAAGGGAAATATAAGTCTTAAGTTGTTGCAGAAAGTTATCTTATGTTGTACACCCATCAAATCCTGTACCAGCTTTTGCCTTTTCTTTATTCTTTTTAAATTATGGACCTCATATATTTGTCTCAGCCACATAAGAGTACTATCTTCACTAACATGAGATTAGTAACTCCCTTACTTTAAAGTTTAAACTTAATGAAAACGTGATATACGAATTATGTATGGTGGGTCCAGGAAAAGTCCGTGGTGGGAGACCACCACCAATGGGCTAAGTGGATCAAATACACCAAGTGGGTCCGATACCACATCTTAACTCAAAACCATAAGGCATTGGGTTCATAGGTCCTTCCACTTATATACTCTTCACTTAGCTCATTACCAACCAATGTGGAACTCATCACACTTGAATTTCTCAACAATCTCCCCTTCAAGTGTGAAACTCATCATTGATATGCTCCCCCTCAACCGAGTACCCCAGGGCCCAAGTACTCAACCCACTTCCTAGCCAATCACTAGGCTAGCTCGAGTCCAACCCGGCTCTGATACCACTGTCAGGCGGGTCCAGGGGGAGTCCGTGTCGGAAGACCACCACTAATGGGCTAAGTGGATCAAATACACCAAGTGAGTCCGACACCATATCTTAACCCAAAACCTTAAGGCATTGGTTCATGGGCCATTCCACTTATATACTCTTCACTTAGCTCATTACCAACTAATGTCAGACTCATCACACTTGAATATCTCAACAATTAGGGGTATGTTAGAGAATAATATAACCATTAAAAAGGCCCTCACCCAACACCTTAAGGTTTTGGGTTGAAGTGATTCTTTACATGGTATCAGAGTCTCGGTGTACTGGGTTCGATCCTCACCGCCTCCCACCTCTAGTGGAATTTCTTTCTTCGCACATGTAGGTGGGCTTGTGCATTGTCACCCTTCAAGCGGAGTGGGCTCTCATATGAGGGGACATGTTGAGATATATAAAACCATTAATGTAGCCTCACCCAATAACTTAAGCTTTTTGGGTTGAATTAGTTCTTTACATGGTATCAAAGTAAAGGAAAGGAAATGTCTCGGTTCGATCCCCACATGCCATCTTTTGGAGAGGTTCAAATATCTTTATCCCTTTACCCACCCCGCACTCCGGATTAGTCGCATAGTCGGCTCAAAAAGTCGAAGCTTGTGGGGATACCAGGAGAGCCAACTTGCCTAAAAGAGATAATTAGGATTGTGTTAACTAAAAAATAAAAAAGAAGTAATAATATAAGTTGTCAAATTAAATTTAAGATATTATTTAATAATTTTGACTAAATCATATTTTGCCTGACACATTTTTACTAACCTCGTCTAATAAACATTCCTTTCGTTAGTGATGCTCATCAACCGATTCAAATCACGGTGACTAAACCAAAAAATCAATAACCAAATTAATTGAAAACCTAACAACCAAAAAAAAAAAAAATCGAATTATTCGATTTGGTTGGTGAAAACTGATCCAATGTATTTTGTATTTATTATTTTCAAAAGATGGTGACTTAGAATCTTGTTGTTTTGTAGGCTTGAAATTTTGTTATTTTGTAGACTTGGAATCTTGAATGTTATTGATAATAAACTATCTTGTTTGAGTTTTTTTTATTGTTTATTAATCTATTTTAACTCTTCATCAGTTTTATGACTTGAATTTTCCAGTGGTTTGTAACTTTGAATCGCTTTATTTTGATATAGCTAGCTATGAAACACATACTCGCCTTTTATCAGAAAAAATGCATGTCGGACACGTGTCGAACATCGATACGTTTTGACATGTGGTCAATGTTTTAAGACACGTTGACTATCCGACATGCTATTTTGACCGTGTCTGACACGGTCAAGTAGCAAAAATGTAAATTTTTTGAAATCAGTCACCACCGCCAAGCATTCCATTGTCGTTGCCGTTCCAAGAGTGCTTCAATCTTCTTCCTCGGGCTGTTCTTCGTCTTCCTCACGTCGCCCTCGGCCTCCCTTCATTTTTAACTTGCAGTTGGAGATCCACAACTTCAGTCTCTGCTTTCCACTTCGCTGCCCCTTCTTGCTGGTTTGGTGATGAGCTCTTGTTCTTGTTATTTTTTACGGCAGCTGCAACTTCTCAATCAATACAAGAATTTAGGGTTTTATTTTAATTTGAGATTGGGTTGGCATTGGACCATTATAGTGTGAGCTAAAAAGTGAATTTCAACTACCAAAAAGAAAATTGAATGTCAATTTTAATTCTTACCTTCCATTAATATACTTTTATCGATTTTTCAAATGAATAACATGTAAAATAATATATATATATATATATATATATATATTATATAAATTTGTGCAACAACAGCTTTTATTTAAATATGTATTTCACTTATTTAAAATATAAAACATAATAAATCATTTTTATATTTGAATAAAATGGGATTATAATTAAAATATATATTTTTATGAAAATAAAACTAAATTATTGAATATTAAATATAATATATACTACATAAATTAAAAGTATTATTTGATTAAAACGTATCCTAATGTGTCGAAATTCATATTTTTTTAGAATTAACATGTCGAAGTGATGTGTCGTGTCACATGTCGCGTGTCAGTATCGATGCAACATTGATAGCTAGTGATTTCTATGACTGAAATTTTAGGCTTTTTAAAAAACCAAAAATCGATATAATCCAATTCAATCCGAATAAAATTGGATTGAATTTAAAAAAATCAAAGCCAAATAAATGATTAAATAATTAAATGAGATTAGATCAAATAATTTTTATTTCAAAATTAATCTAATCCAGACCGCAAAATCAATGAGTAGTTTTTCATATTCAAATATGTTATTAGGATAGAATATTGTTACTATCAAATAATATTACTATCAATATCACTACTATATTTTAACCATTAATTTTGTCATTTAACAGTTGTTATTCATGTCAAATTAATAATTAATTAATAAATTTAATTTATTAAAATAATAACTGCAGATTGAGAAAAGTAAATAATTAAGATATAATAATAATATTGATAATAATATTATTTAGTAATAACAATGTTCATTCCCTGTCTTGTTATTGTGTTAACGTTAACAAACTCTCCGCTAGTGTAACAGTAGACCTCCCGTTTCATCTTTTTCGCCATTTTGGGGATATATGATTATCCACTTACTTTTCCCACCCCAAGTCACGTGACCAAATTTGAAAAACAAGGTAAGAACACGTGCCTCCCTGATTTGAACCTAAACGAAAACAAGGAGCACTCAAACCCAAAAAAAAACCCATTCTTGTGTTCAGTTCTTCTTCTTCTTCTTATTTGTTCTCTCTCTTTCTCTGAAAATCATCAACGTTACGAAGTGTTCGCCATGGAAGCGATACTCATAGATTGTGCGCAGAAGAGTCTTCGCCATTTCATGCACTCCAACGCCATCTTCATCTCACAGCGTCTCTGTGCTCAGTTTCCCTCTGAGGTGTTTATTTTCTTCACTTCCCTTATCATCTCTTCGTTTTCCTACACTAACACTGCACTCTCTCCCTGTTTGGTTCCTCAGAAAATCCGAGAAAACCTAAATGGAAAATAAAATTAACTGGTTCAAACTACGAGCTCGAGCAACTGCCACTTTTTTTTTTTTAACTTTTCTTCTTTGTTTTCCTCATGCTTTTTCGATACTTCCTATGCATCGAGATCGGTGATTTTCGCTTAGGTTATCAGAAGCTATTCGATTCAATTCCTGTACTGAAATTTCGAGATAAGAGTGTTGGTTGCTTTGGCAAGATTTAGATTCGGTTTTATTTTCACATTATTTTAATTATGTGATTATGTTGGGGTTTGAAGTTTCTTTGTGTTAGAGAATAAAATGAACCATTAAATAAAACCTTTGAACGGCTTAAGCTTTTGGGTTGAATTGGTTCTTTCTAAAGAACCAATTCAACCCAAAAACTTAAGTTATTGGGTGAGGCTACATTAATGGTTTTATATATTTCAACATGCTCCCTCACAAGAGAGCTCATTGGGCTTGAAGTGTGGACAATGCACAGCCCATCTATCTGTGCTAAGAAAGAAATTCCACTAGAAAGAAAGTGGGGGGCGATGAGGATCGAACCCGGGACACGAAGCTCTGATACCATGTAAAGAACCAGTTCAACTCAAAAGCTTAAGCTATTGGGTGAGGCTACATTAATGGTTTTATATATTTCAACGCTTTCTATAGTATCAGAGCTTTAGTGACAATAAGGTCATGAGTTCGATCCTCACCACCCTCACTTGTAGAGATTAAATTGTTGGGTCCAATCCAAACTTGTGAATGTTTACAGAGAGGAAGATAGAAACAAAGTTTTCACATGGAAGGTGATGTGAAATTTCAACCCTTATTGCCCAAGCCATAGTGTAAGCCAACACTTATACCTTTAATTTATTCATAAGTTGCAGCAAATGAGAATTAGTCTTGTTTGTCTGATCTTATTGAATTGACATGTCTCCTTTGTGCCTGAGATACATGATTTTGGATGTGCCTAACCAAGAATTTTGTGTCCTTATAACGCTGTTAATTATTACTTCTTGTTCATGAACTTTATTTGGCTATATTTTTATTCAGTGTCACTTGCTGAAGACATCTTTTGCGCTCTCTTAACTTAGTGTTTGGTAATTATTTTTTGTTTTGTACAGACAAATTTGCAATTGTTAGCTGGCTGTTACTTGCAAAGTAACCAACCTTATTCTGCATACCATATCTTAAAGGGTACGTTTCTTGCAATATTTATTATGTCTCGAACAGTTTCAGAGTTGCATTCTTATTATTTTTAAATATCACTGTTCCTTTTTCTGTTTAAGAGGGCTTCACCTGGAGCAGTGATAAAGCTTCTCTATTGTGACTGAAAGATCATAGGTTCAAATATGAAAAATAGTCTCTTTGTAAATATGTTAGGATAAGGCTGTGGACAAAGATTGTCCTCACTAGTCGGGATTTAATGGGGATTGGTTTACTATTCCTTTCCTGTTTCATTAATTGACTTTTAATAGTTCCCCCCCCATTTCTTGCTATTATCTTGCAGTATGAATTCTTATTATATCTCTCTTGTTATTTTTCTTCTTTGTTTCTTGAAGGAACTCAAATGGCTCAATCCCGGTACTTGTTTGCAATATCATGCTTTCATATGGATCTTCTTAGGGAAGCCGAAGGAGCATTATGTCCTGCTAGTGAGCCTGGTGCAGAGGTATAAAGCACAATTTAGAATGTGATTAATGTTATCTCCCGATTATAAAATTTATAAAAATATGTCGGTAGCAATATTTTATTTCCCAAACAATTTTAAATTGTTTATATTTCTTGTTCTGTTTAATTTCTATACCAGTTTGCTATTATTAATTCACTTATCACATAAGTTCTGACATGCCCTTCTGTTTTAAGTTGCTTTTTGTTACAACTCGTTGTGGCATTTTTCTGGGAGAGGTGAATGACTTCTTAAGTTTGTTGCTTTTTTTACTGTGTAGGTTCCAAATGGTGCAGCTGGTCATTATCTATTAGGGCTCATTTACAGGTTGCTGATCAGTCTTCCCATCAATGACCAAAATCTCCTTTAAGTACTTGGTTAAATTAACTAGTCTAATTTGGCTAAATCACATCATACTTATATAATAACACTTAACAATAACATCAAATTAGACATAATCAGAAGTGTTTTTATTTTTACCTCTTAGTAGAACGTACAAGAAGATTAGGAGAGTTCTAGTTATATGACCATTGCAAGAAATATTAAAAAGTTGTGGGGAAGTTTTCTGGTTTTTGTAAACTATCTTCTTTGCTAAGGATGGACTACTACAAAAAGTATCAGTAGAAAATTGCAAAAGGCATATTGTTGATGCTTGACACAGTTTAAGTAGACAGTAAGGTGTGATTTCAACCCTTAATTATTGTAACCAGTTCTATACAAAATATTTATTGCATAAGGCATATTATTGACTTACTTTAAGTAGACAATAAGGTGTGATTTCAACCCTTAAATTTTGTAACCAGCTCTATACAATATATATACACGTAAATTGTTCTTATTTATTATTTATTTTTACTTAATTTGTTCTTTCTTTTGTATGGGTTCATCGACTCCAACCTAAACTAGTTTGGGATGAAGGTGATGTCATTGTTGTTGTCATTGTTCTGTACAATTTATTTTTGCTAAGAAGCCAAAGCTAAAAAACTGTTTGGATTGATATTGCTCAAGACTTTTGCACAGGATTCTATAAGATAATGAGTTGTATATATCACTTTTCTCTATTAGCACATCCCTTTTTTAAATGTCTTGCATATCTACCTGTGCCCTCACAGACTTGGTGTCATTTGGTGGTTGATTCCCATTAAGCATTTCGTTGTTCTATGAAGATTTGGTCCTTCGTGTTCCTGGGACTGATTTCCATTGAATTATCTTTAAATATCTGTCTTTGCTTTAACTTGTAATTTACTTCATACTCTTTCATATCCACGTTCATCCTTCTATATTCCCTTGAGTTACTATTCTGCCTTTTCAGGTACACTGACAGAAGGAAAAGTGCCATACATCATTTTAAGCAGGCACTATCAATGGATCCTCTGATGTGGGCTGCATATGAGGAACTGTGCATATTAGGTCTGTGAGATGAATTCACTAGATTCCCAAAGCTCATCTGGCATACTTGATGTACCAATTGGTGAAACCTAGTATAAGGGACTGCTTGCTAAGTTGTTAAATTGTGTGTTTCCCCATTTGGATGAGGTTGTTTATAGTTTTGATGAGATAAGGAATCTGGTTAAAGCAAAGGAAACATGTTACACCTTGTATGATTTGAAAATAATACACCTATGATTTAAGCATTTTAGTTTCAGTAACTGAGCATCAGTCATAGTTTTATTGTGGTTTGCCCATAACCGGTGATATATAAATAATTTGACAATAATGAGCACTAGAAAAAATACTTGTTTTTTTATTAAAGTGCTTATGGTTCTACCAAATATTGAAATTGTCATATTACTCAATAAAAGCTGAAGTATGCCAGTTAGCGATGCAAATTTAGACTTAGAGTAATTAAATGGTTGTTTCGCTTTTGTTTTCTAAAATATGTTGTTGTCATCATAATCATCGTTGTACTGTTTTCTGAATATTTAAGGTGCTGCTGAAGAAGCAACTGCAGTTTTTGATGAAGCAGCTGCTTTTTGCATACAAAAGCAATACCTAAATTGCTCAATCTCTCACTACCCACATTCGTCAGCTGAAGATTGTAATGTAGTTGCCGCCAGACACTGTGTCTCTGAAGATGTGAGTCCAAGGCAACTCAGACAAATGCAGGGCCTAAAGGATATTGCCGAAAATCATCATGGAACATCTATGTTAGGAGGAACTGCTGGTCAAACTATTAATAGTTGTCCATCTATTGTGTCATTTTATAACACCCCATCTCCGATGGCCACACAGGTAACTGTAATTTTATATTGTGAAGGCCTATTAATGTTCATTAAAAAATTGTGGAATGCTAAACTATAGACTGAGTTATAGTTTCCACAAATTTGAGTATGGCCAGCAGGATTCAGAAATATATATAAAGGCATCGTATTTTTCCTTAAAATGATAATGCAGGTTCCTTGGTCAACTAGATGTGTTTGATGTCCATTTTTCTTTTCAAATGAATGACATGATCTGTTCTCCTCTTTTGCAGTTGTCAGGTGTTGCTCCACCCCCTTTGTGTAGAAATATGCTGCCTAATGGCCCAAATTTGAGTACAGTTGTTGGTGACAGTTCTCCTAAGTCAACAGTGAACTCTACTCTTCAAGCCCCTATTCAAGCCCCTCGAAGAAAGTTTGTGGGTGAAGGAAAGTTACGGAAGGTCGGTTCTATTTTTCTGCCTCTATTTGAATCACGTTACCTTATCTGGCATTTTTCTGTATATGGGTGTTGATTTCATTAAGTTGCTTAATCTAAAGTACAAGATGACAATTTTCAATACATTTTTCTTTCAGCAGTAGTGATGTTGATTTATCCAATTTGTTATTAATATCAAAACTGCCAATCTTTAGTCAAGCATTGAGCCGGGAGAGCCTTTCATTATAGGAATGACAGTTTATTCTGACAACATTATTGGACCTCAATTTTGTTCCCATCTAGTCATGACTTTATGGGCATCTGGATTTACCTTTTCAATTCATGTTACCATTGATTCTCATTGAATATGTATGTAATATAGTTAATTTTCTGCATCTCTGCTCAGCTAAAGTTTATTTTGCATTCAGGTCTTTCTGGGTTTTTATGTACTTGTGGGCACTATAGTGCCATGCATTCTAAGATGAACTTTTAAATGTATTTTCCATATTATGATGTGAATTATTGACCATTTGTTCTGTTGATTAACTGAATATTTTGAGGGTATTTTTTGCATGATTGTAATAAATATGTATTCTGGTTGAGTGCTTGACTTTTCAGACCTTTTGATATTATGTTCTTTTATTTTTCACCATTCATTTTTCTTTCTAAATATATATTTTTTCAGATTTCGGGTAGATTATTTTCTGATTCTGGTCCTCGACGTAGTTCAAGACTCTCTAGTGAAGGAGTTGTAAATGCAAATGCTAATGCAACAGTTGTATCTGGAAATGGAACTAGTAACTCTTATAGGGGAGGGTCAAAGCTTAACCCTATGGCATTTCGTACCATGACGGTTCGTAAGGGACAGTCATGGGCCAATGAAAACATTGATGAAGGTAATGGATCTTTATATATCTCACTACTTGATTTTATCAATTTATTCTTGTATATGGAAACAATTCCCTTTCTTAAATAATTTTGGTGCAGTGTTAGGTAAGTCATTTATTCACTTTTGCAAGTTGCATCCAAGCTGATGATGTTAGATTTCTTTTGTGAATTGTCTTCTATTCTATTGCCTTTGATATCTGTATTTAAATTGGTGATGCTTGATAGAAATATGAATCTACTGCCAGGTGCTAATCTAATATGTTGAACTCTAATAAGCTGAAGGGTTTGTGTATCCATTAATGGTTATGGTTCACACATTTTCTTAAAGTGATTATTGTTTAAAATTTTCTGTTACAATATTTAATGATTTCTCATTTCTTTATTTTTAGGGATCCATAATTATGTCCCAGATGATTCTCGTTTAAATATTACATCAACAACTTCTTGTTCATCTCCTGCCATTGAAGCTAAATCTTATGAACAAGAAGCAACAACATTTCAAGTTGGTGGGCAAGTAAAATGTTCTTCTGAAGTCATCAGTGGAGCTTCAGAAATACTGACCCTTCTAAGAGTTATTGGTGAAGGCTATAGACTTGCCTGCTTGTATGGGTGCCAGGTATTAATTGGATATTTCTGGAGAAAATCCAGATGTGGTTTATATCATTTATTAATGTAATTCTAATTAGAGATATGGAAATGGAAAAATAAAATGAGGAATATACCTTGTCCTCAGTTGCATTTTGTTTTTTAATATCTGTTTATGGTGGAGCAGGATGCACTGGATACCTATCTGAAGCTTCCACAGAAACACTACAATACTGGCTGGGTCCTTTCTCAGGTGATTTTTGGTGGCTCTGCTTGCATTCTCTGACCTTTCATTGTAATTCTTGGTACATAAGCATGGATTTATAGATATACTACATTCAGGCTTATGATACTATATTCCGATATTTTTTTGGCTGCAACTAGAAATCTTTTTCTTTATTGTGCTTAGCTTTTTTTTTCTTTGTTTTGAAGGATATCTTATCCCTCCCCCCCCAAAAACCAAAACCAAAAAAAAACAAAAAAAAAACTAGTTGTACTTCTCCACTTTTCTGTCTAATAAAATAGCAGTTAAATGAAATCTCTACATTTAACTGTCACTCTACCCATTTTGTAACTATAATCTTTTAATATATTTGTTACACTCCATAAGATGTCAAGAAATAACAACTTTGACAGCTTTGGATGAGACTATGAATAAAAGAAAGTACATCAAGACAAAGAAAAAAAAAAACTAAGGGCTAAATAAAATTTCCGATCCTAAATTAGAATTTAGTCCAAGGCAAGTTGGCTTGTTCTTTGTCCATGTCATGCAGGGGTTGTGTTAAAGATATAAATTGTGCCTCCATCTTAAAGCTCGAGCTTTTTGGAAAGTCAGTCTGGGACAATAAGAAAGTTGGAGAGAACAAGGATGTCTGAAACTGTGACCCATAAAGTATAGAAATACCATTTTGGTGTTGTGTTTGTCAGATACATCTCTGACACAGACACTTATGACACACTGATGAGACGTGTACATGCCCAGTTTAATTTTTTTTTTCCTGGCGACGCAACTTGGACGTGGCCATTTAAAATTTGACTTTTGTTGTTTTGGATGTACTTGTTCATGGCTAGTTCTACTATGAGACTTAAGGGCCATTTTCTTGAATTTTTTGAGGTTTTAAATTGACTTCTTATAGCTAACCTGGCCAAATTTGGTCTGCGGACTTTTTCACTGTAAAAGCTGGTTCTTTTTGTATGCCATTGGATTCTTTGATGGTGGTCTTTATGCTGGAGATCCCCACGGATGCATCACATTAACTATTTGTCATCTTACTTGAATATGTTTTAATGCAGGTTGGAAAAGCATACTTTGAATTAGTTGATTATTTAGAAGCTGAACGGGCCTTTAGTATTGCTCGTCAAATATCACCTTATAGTTTGGAAGGAATGGATATATACTCAACAGTCCTTTATGTGAGTTAACATATATTTTCTTTATAAAAAGCAAACCATTTGTCTTTCTTTCTTTGTTGCCTTTGGGACTCACATTTTTGGTCGATTCAACTAGTAAAATCTCTTGATAGAAGAACATTACCCTAATCAACTATGTTTTGATATCCTTGTTCTTGGCTCCTAGCCTAAAACTGCTCCTGGAATATGTTTGAGGCTCTGATTTCTCTGATGCTGCCCACTATTTCTGTAAAAGGATTCTTTTTTGATGGTTGTCATCAACAAATTACAAATGAACCCTGAACATTCATATGTGGCAATAACTTTTTAACGCTATGTCCTAGTATTTCTTTAGCTTCCTGCTCCCACAAAGTTTAAAATTTTAAATGCATGCCTGCATGTTTACTGCTTGACCAAACGGCTACTTTATCTATGGTGCAGCATTTAAAGGATGATATGAAGCTAAGTTACCTGGCGCAGGAACTGATTTCAACTGATCGCCTAGCTCCTCAATCTTGGTAGGTATACATTGAACTTTCTTGTAATTATTTGGTGTGCTGACTTTCATTTTTTCTGACTGAAATTTCTTCCCTTAATAAGTCATTTTTACGTAGTCTTTCTTCATTTTGCCGGAAGCTCAAAACTGCATATTTTCCTGTGTGTGTGTGCGTGCATGCACTGTGAGCCTAGCTGTGTCATGTTTTAAAAAAAAGAGCATTTTCTTTCGGCTGTGATAGTGATATTTGACATATTATTACCTATATCCTGTCTACTACATATGAAGTACAGGATCTTCCATAGAACATTTGTGTATATTTTGGCGAACTCCAGTTATCTGCTTGCGAAGCCTTTCATAAATATGCTGATGATAATATTATCTTGCTATTCAAGCACCACTGGAATCTTTTGGAAAATTAGAGCTTTAGAGTCTATTTTTCTTTTCTCCCCCCCCCCCCCCCCTCCCCCAATTGTATTTGGCTGTCCAATTCTTAATTACTATCATTTATACTGGTTTATCATTTCTATCGAATTCTGTGGCAGGTGTGCCATGGGTAATTGCTACAGCCTGCAGAAAGATCATGAAACTGCATTGAAGAATTTTCAACGAGCTGTTCAACTGAATCCCAGATTTGCATATGCACACACGCTTTGTGGACATGAGTATGATCATTGACCTTTTTTATGATCCAAATGCGCCCATGTTTTCAGCAACTTTTTATGGTCTTGTAATTCATTGCTACTTGCAGGCACGTTGCACTAGAAGATTTTGAAAATGGGATTAAGTGCTACCAGAGTGCACTCAGGGTTGATGCAAGGCATTATAATGCCTGGTATGGACTTGGAATGATATATCTTCGCCAAGAGAAGTTTGAGTTCTCTGAACATCATTTCCGTATGGCTTTCCAAATCAACCCACGATCTTCTGTTATATTGTCATACCTGGGAACTGCTTTGCATTCTTTAAAGGTTTATCTCTCGCTGCATTAATTGTAGTAGTACAAATACAAACTAGAACTGCATTAGTCTTTTGCTTGTGTTTTGTATTCAGGGTTCTGAAATTTTGCTTCTATGAGTTGTCAGAGAAGTGAGGAAGCATTGACCATAATGGAGAAGGCTATTTTAGCAGATAAGAAAAATCCACTTCCCATGTATCAAAAGGCCAACATACTCATTAGCCTGGAAAATTTTGTCGAGGCTCTGGAAGTCCTGGAGGAGCTTAAGGAGCATGCTCCCTGCGAAAGTAGTGTCTATGCTTTGATGGGCAATGTCTATAAGAGGCGTAACATGCATGAGAGAGCAATGCTTCATTATGGTATTGCTTTGGATTTGAAACCATCTGCAACAGATGCTGCTGTCATTAAGGTGATTGGCTTACAACAGAAATCTTTTTGCTCTAAGCTCATAAAGTTTTTACAGTTAACTAATCTTTCTGCTATCTGGTTGGTTTGGTGAATGTTCAATTACTTTGTAACTTTTTAGATTATTGACGACCACTTTAGAAGACAATAAAACTTCTGGTTGTAGTCATTTATTTATTTATTTTTCCTGTGTGATTTGGAGCTTCTTATTCTTTTCTATCAGGCTGCCGTTGAGAAATTGCATATACCCGATGAGTTAGAAGACTACGTCTGAAGTGCAAGATTTGAATATTTGTTCATAATGATTTGCTTTCGGCTAATTGTGTATAAAAGCACACAAATGCTTGAGGAGTATCCATTGGTGGAGCCATGATCTCTAGAAATGACTTAAAGTTTTGTAGGATATTGACATAGGATTAGAGCAAATGATGCAACAGAGGTACCCAGAAGCTCCTATACTTGTACAAATAGTTGTTTTAGGGAAAACTACGTGTATCATTAGTTTATCCATTCATTTATTCATATATCAGAGCTTTATTCTGTCAGATCTAGTCAAAATTGTTAGAAGTGTCAAATGCCTCATTTCTTGTTCATTTTCAGATTTCAACTTCGATTCTCTCATATGATGCTGAACTTCATCTCTGCAAATTCTTTCTTTTCTTTTCTTGTATCAGTTTCACTTTAAAAATAGCAAAATATGGGGGCTTAAACTGACCAGGGCAACCAAATGGGATTATCTTTTTTGACATTTAAGCTCATTATATGAAGTAGCGTTTGGAATAATTTATTTTAAAATTAAATAAATGGCAATTCTTTAAAATATTTTTTGTAAAAAAATGTCTCACAAAAAGTGCTCAAACATTTGGGAAAATAGCTACAGATGCCCGTGCTTTTATTATGTTAATTATAAAGGTAGTAATTTAAATAAAATCTTTATAACAATTTATCATTTATCTTTGTATAAAAAATAGGGTTCATTTTTTCTAAACTGAATACAGATAAGTTATCTCTATTGAATTAAAAATGATGTTGTTTTGAGGCAAAAATTAAGGTATTTTTATAATTATAATTTATTTCAGGGTTATAGCAGTCTTTATTATTACAATTTTTTAATCTTTCAATCAAAACAATATCGTTTTAGGAGTGAATATAGATAATTTATCTGTATTCACTCCATAAATGTTAAAGCCTAAAAGATAAGGTAAAAATGTTTGTCCTTCTAAAGAATGATCATTTTAGTTAAAATTAATATTTTTTATTTAAAATTTAAATTAAAAAAAGGAATCACTTTCTCTCTTATAATTTTTATTATGTATCTTTTTCTCTCAAGCATACAATTCTACGTACTTTAAAAAGTACAAGCACTGAACCCAAAAAATAAAGGAAAAATTTCACTTTCATTTCTTGTCTTTATTATACAAAATAGTAAATTATTAATAGTATTAAAATATCCCTAATTAGAAACAAAAGTTTAAAGAATTATATAAATTCAGTACTAAAAACCATTTGATATTTGAAATATTGAAAGGATTGATATTATATGAAAATATCAAATAACATGTTTAAGTTTATGCTATAGTATATAAATTTTTTATAAGAACAAAATCTACAAATAATAAAATAATTTAGTTTTTACTCTAATATATGAATATTTTATAAGAATTTTATTTGGCCATAGGAAATGAGATTTGGTCTTATTATGAGTCTTTTTGGATCCTCTCTTTTTTAAACTAAAAACAACTTATAAGCTAAAGCTAAAAAAAACCTAAAAATTGTTTGGTAAATTATAAAGATAGACAAAAAATGGCTGCTGGGAGATTTAGTCCTTTAGGGCTTTTTCACCTTTTTACCCCTTATTAATTAATTAATAACCATTTTGCCCCTGATTCGAAACTATTTATCAATCTGCTCCTCTTTAGTCGACTACCTTGCATTTTTAATCGACTAAATGACCAAAACAGACAAAAAATGGCTGCTGGGAGATTTAGTCGACTAAATCTTCATATTTTACAAAAAAAAAATAAGTCAGTATGATTTTAATCGATTAAGTAGAGAGATTTAGTCGATTAAATCTCCCAACAACCGTTTAGTCGATTAAAAATGCAAGGTAGTCGATTAAAGAGGGGCAGATTGGTAGATAGTTTCGAATCAGGGGCAAAATGGTTATTAATTAATTAATAAGGGGCAAAAGGGTGAAAAAGCCAGATTTTTAGTTTAAAAGCACATATTTCAAGAAAACTATCTTTCTCTCTATCTTTATAACTCTTCATATAAAAAAAAGAGTTTTTCATTATAAGAGCTTTTCTCAAAACCTGTTTGACCTAACTTTTATAAGTAGCTTATAGCTTAAAAAAAAGAGGATCCAAACAAGCACTATGTCTAACCTAACCAAATCTATTTCTTTCGATCATTTAATGGATAAAAATCTCAAAACAGTGCTTACATGTAAATTAGGGTTTATTGTTTTTTATGTTGTAGGATATAATTTTATTTCCTATACATGTATAAAAATGTGTAGGATTCATATTTTTTCTTTCTCTCTTCTCTTTATATGAGACTCACACATTTTTATATGTATGTAGAAGATAAAATTTATTTTTTAAAATATGAGAAACATAAAACCCTACAAATTAATAACAAAGGAATGTTTTTAATATTCAATTTGAATATTTGAGATAAACTACTCAAATCTCTCGCCATTAAATCACACCTTTGATATAATTTAATTCTACCAATTGATTTAACCATTATGAACACTTTTGGTCAAAGTTTTAATTATTAAGGTCCTGCACATGTATAAGTTCCTATTACAAATAGTTGGGCTTTTGGATTGTATCAATGCATTTTTTCTAGAAATTCCACCTGTTTAATTTTTTGGTTAAACGTATTACCAAACTAATACTAGTCTACGCATATGATTGTGCACCTATCAGATATGCGTTTTGTGCACCGACACAAATTTTCACTCATCACTGTACATGACTTTATTTTTTTTTTTGTATGTTATCGTTTTTTGTTCATACTTCCTCTACCACTTGCTAATATAAGTGTTGGAAATAATATTGTAAATATATATTTTTCTTATTAGTATTTAGGTTAAGTCTAAGTTAAGCTCATTAGGTTTCTATATATATATTGTACACACTTAAACCTATTCAATATACAGATTATTTCACAAGTTCTTTCGTCTCTTGTTATTCAATATGGTGTCTAGAGCCTAATGAGAGGAATCCTGATTCTTTTTTTTTTTTCTTTTCCGGTGAACCCACTTTTCATCGTCTTTTCAATTTTTTTTTTCCAGATATTGTCTCCTTGTCAATTTCCAGAGATCTCCTTTGTTCTAGGATCGTCTGTGCATTGTTGTTGAACCGTTTTCTTCGCGAACCACCGCCAAACAACCTTAACCATTGCTCCTCCGTCGTTGACCACCACCGTCTGATAGCTTTTTTCGGTGAGCCACCTACCGTTGTGCTCGTTTCGATCGTGTGCTGTCGTTTGTCCAGGTCTCGTCCAAAAAAGGTCTCTTACGTGCTCTCATGCGCGGGCCAAAGCCGCGCACATGGTCTTTTGTTGGGCTGTGCGTGAAGGCGCATGGCACATCCTTTCCAGCAGCGACGGAATGGGTTTTTCTTGTCTCTCCACGATGTTTCTGGATCTAGTCCTGTTTTGGTGTTTCGACATTGTTTTTGGTGACTCATAGATCCTACCCCTACCAGTTAGTCTTGTGATCTGTCTTTTTTATTTTCTGATCTTTCTTTTGTTGGGTGATTATGGATTCCCCTACCTCTTTTATTCTTGGGTCTTTGGCTGCTCCCAAGTCGAAGTCTATTATTTTTTTCAATTATATCCTTGCTCCGCTGAGTGTGGATAAATTGGATGGCTCGAACCAGGACTTTTGGTCGTTAGATTTGCGACTTTGGTTGGATGGGAAGAATTATACATCCTATCTCACTACTAAGGCTGACTCTATTGTGGATAATGAGATCACACGATGGAATATGATTGATGCTCAGTTGTGCAGTCTCATTAAAACTACTCTTCATCTTTCAATTAAGCAGATTTTTCGACCTATAAATACTTGTGAAGCTATCTGGAGTCCGGCAAAGGCATTGTACACCAATGATACACAACGACTTTATGGTGTGTGTCAGAAATTGATGACTACTTTGCCCCTCGGGAGTTCAATTATCCTATGTCTGAGTATTTGGGAAAAGCTCAGAGTTTGCTTCATGATCTCAATTAACTTCTGCCCCTTACTGGTGCTGCTACTAAGGAGCGGGAACATCGTAATACCCTTTTATATTGTTCATTTTAAATGGTTTACCTTCCTATTTGTCTACCAATCAGGATCAAATTTTGGGGTCTGCTACAGTTCCTACACTAGATTCTGTGATGTCTACCTTGCTTAGGACTCCATCTAAGCCCTCTACATCATCAGCACCTCCTATAACCCATGTACCTCCGGTTGACACCGTTGACTCATTTACCCTTGCTGTTTAGGGTTATGGTCGTGGACATAAACCCTCTAAATGAAAGTTACTATGCACTCATTGTCATCAGACCAATCATATTGTTGACCGTTGTTGGAAGCTTTATGGCAAGCCACCTCAGCCTCCTCGAATTGCTCATGTTGCTCAGGCTACCTCTAGTGCTCCTGCTTTAGGGTTACCTTCCGCTACGTAACCTCCTGCCATTCTTCTTAATGAATTCTTGACTTAATGGTCTGAGAAGCAAACATTTGGTTTTACTACCTCCATTGCTCCCATTAGTAATTCTTTTGCCGGGATCTCTTAGTTACACTCTCTAAGCCCTTAGACTCTTGATTTTGAGGCTTTTGATCACATTTTCTGGTAATAAGTCCTTATTCACTCTTTTTTGTACCACTAGTTCATTTCCTACTATTACTGTGGCCAATGGGTCTCTAGTCCAATCCTATGGGATCGGCACGATTTTTCTTTTACCTCATTTATCTCTAGATCATGTTCTCTATATTCCATATTCTCCCTTTAACTTACTTTCTATTAGTCATTTGAGAAAATTCATTGATTGTGTTGTTTCCTTTACTAAAACCTTTGTCATCTTTCAGAATCGGAGTTCGGGGAAAAGGAGATTACCAAAGGATGTGAGTCTCATGGCCTCTATCAACTTTTCCTTCTTCTTTAGCCTGCTCCACCGAGGATTCTCCTCTCACCATACATGCTCATTTAGGTCATCCAAGTCATGTCAAGCTTCAGAAGATGGTTCCATATTTATCGTCTCTTTCTAGTTTAAATTGTGAATCTTGTCAGTTTGGAAAACATACTCATAGTAGGTTCCCAAGTTGTCTTAGTCGTCAAGCTTTGTCCCCATTTTTTGTGGTCCACTCTGATATTTGGGGAACAAGTAGTCATCCTTCTACTTTAGGGTTTAAGTATTTTGTTACTTTCATTGCTTAAGGCCAAAGTTTATGTAGGGGTTTATCTTATCACTATCGCATGCTTTAGGCTTTCAAACAAATGATAAGGTGCACTCCATTAATAAAAGGAAAAGGTCTCATAACACCCTTATAGTAACCAGAAATGACCAAAGTCATTTTCAACAACAAAAATGCCAAACTTCTTTCATCAACATCGAATAAAAAGCAAACAATAATTTCACACGAACTAAAATAGAATGGCGACAAAATTTATAACATGTGAACTAAAAATATATAAAAATCATGTTGATTATGATCGGTACAAACCGGGTTTCGTATATCTTGCTGGGTCACCGAGACTCGGTCGAGTTGATCGGTCCAAACCGAGGTGATTGCATGACTGATCCAAATGACCATTAGAACCGGGGAACCCACCGGGTCACCAAGACCCGGGTCGACTCGACCGGTCCGAGAGGGGTATTAAAACACTTCTACCAACCTTTCCAGTTACTACCAATTTTTTACAAAGCTTATAAGTCATTTAAGACAATGTTTGGATCTTTCTTTTTTTAAGGTAGAAGCTACTTTTAAGCTAAAAGTAAAAAAAAGAACTAAAAAAAAGCTAAAAGCTATTTGGTGACAATATAAAATTTTTAGCTTAAAAATACATATTTCAAGAAAAGCTCCTTCTCTCTAACAAAATTGAAGAAAAGCTAACAAAAGCTTCATTATAAAAAAGGAAGAGATTTTTTTTTAAATTTGTTTCGCATAAAAATAAGATAATCCAAATATTCAGTAAATGTCAATGTGGCTTTTAAATTATAGAGTAAATATTTTTTTTGGTCCTCAGCAAATTTCACGATACCCGCTTTAGTCCCTAGCAAATAAAAAGATCCATCGTAGTCCCTAAGAAATTCAAAATGGACCCATTTTAGTCCTTTTAAGGACTGATATGGGTCTTTTTTGAATTTTTTAGGACCACGATTTCAACTAAATGAGTCCATTTTGAATTTCTTAGGGACCACGATGAGCCTTTTTATTTGCTAAGAACTAAAGCAGGCATCGTGAAATTTGCTGAGGACCAAAAATGGTATTTAATCTAAATTATATGATACAATACAATGATACCACTGGAAGCTTTAGTATTGAGTTTTTAACAATTACAAATATTTTCTGTATAGAATTTGTTATGATTTAAAATATTTCATATTATGTAAGTATTGAATGTACATTCACCATTGAAAGAATAAATCACTAACTATCAAAATAAAAAAAAGAAAAATGTGTGTTATTTTAAATGATACACCTTACATTCTTTTACTATTTTTTTTTTGTATCTTTACATTCTTTTACTCTCACAAAGTGGTGAGATTCACATATTTAAAATTTTTCTCCATAATTTATTTCTTCCTTTTACTTAAAATAACACAATTTTCTGTCATTTAAAATGATATATACTTTTTCCATAAAAAAAATCTAAAACAAAAGAATCTACTAAATAAAATATAATTAATTTATTATTATTATTTATAAATTTTTATTTATAAATTATCCTAATAATATTTATAATTTGTAAGAGTTTATAAAAATAAAATTACGTAAATATAACCAGCTCTGTCGTAAAAGCGACTCTCACTTTATCATATTGCTTTGGACGCTGTCATTTCCCCAATTCCATTCAGCGATCATCGTGTTAGGGTTTTTCTTTTATTTCTTCACACTTCGCACTTCACGCTCACAACTTTGTCTCTATAACTGGTGCAGTTAAGGTACGATATTTTTTATTATTTTTTTGTTCTTGTTATTGAAAATTTATTTAGATTTTGTTTAATGATTTTGCCAAATCTTGCTTTCAAAATGAGAATTGTAATGCTAGGGTATTGATTCTTGATGAATTGTTCTCAGAGTTTTTAGGTCACCAATTAGGTTTAGGTCGACAACAAGAACATGGGGAGTAAAGGTAGAATACCATTACCCCCTCCACATATGAGGCGTCCTCTTCCTGGGACAGGCATGTTGCATCCCGAGGTCTTGGGCCACGGGATGCACCCTCTGCCGGGCCGAGGCCCTGGCCCATTCCCGCCGTTCGATCTAATGCCGGCACCGGAAGTTTTGGAGCAGAAGCTGGCTGCCCAGCATGTGGAGATGCAGCGGCTGGCTACCGAGAACCACAGGCTTGCTGCCACCCAAGGAACATTGAGGCAGGAGCTTGCCGCGGCGCAGCACGAGTTGCAGGTGCTGCACGCACAGATTGGCGCTGTGAGGGCTGAGAGGGAGCAGCAGATGCGGGGCTTGGCGGATAAGATTGCCAAGATGGAATCCGAGCTGCAGGCCACCGAGCCACTTAAGCTTGAACTGCAGCAGGCGCAGGGCGAGGCGAGGAACTTGGTTGTGTCTAGGGAGGAGCTTGTTTCTAAGGCTCAGCAGTTGAGTCAGGAGCTTCAGAGGACGCATGCGGATGTTCAGCAGATTCCGGCTCTTATGTCGGAACTTGAGTGCCTCAGGCAGGAATATCAGCATTGCAGGTAATCTTTTGCTTTGGTTTTAGGTCTGATGGGAATAATTATGATTGTCACTTCCAGCTTAAGTTGTTGTGGATTTGAAAAAAAAATTGATTTTTCATTATCCCTAAGGATATGAACTTGTAAGCATTAATTGTAGAACTCAAGAAGAGTACCCCTTTAGGTCAAAGAGTTTGTTTGAATTGTAGTACATGATAGGATTGATACAATGTCGTGCTGGCTGCTTTATTGAAATGAACCGTTCGTTTGTTGATTTCAAATTCATAAACAGGAAATAGGAGGATTAGTATTTTAGTTTTTTTAATAATAGCCCTAGTGTTATTTTTTACCTGAATAATTTTGAAATGATTTTCCCACAGTTTTTCTACATAAAGAGATTGTAAAGAAAGGAGGATTGTAGGAAAAGGTAAATATCAGTGTACCAGTTAGGAAGAATTGTGATGATACCAAGACCTATAGATGTTGTGTCATATCACAAAATAACAAAAAATTATAAACTTTCTCGTTTCTTTAAAATCCTGGTGTGCCCACTTTCATAGGGATAGAGACATTCCTTTATATGTGGGGATTTTCATGAAGTTATGAGAGGTTTTCTTTGGTCTGGAGTAGGAGAGAAGAGACCACTTGATTAGATGGGAGATTCGTTGTAAGCCTCAGTTAGATTAGAGGGACTCTTGTTAATTGGGTTTTTGAAAAATGTGCGTTTGGCCAGTAAATGGTTGTTGCATATTTATGTACGGACAGTCCCATTTTGGTCTCTGGTAAATAGAGCAAGTAAGTTTTGGACTCGAACAGGTGGGCTATGTTGCACCGACATCGACACAGGACACGATACGACATTCCGACACATTAATTCTAAAAAATGTTAGATTTTGACACGTTAGGACACATTTTGATATTAAATAATATTTTTAATTTATGTAGCGTATATTATATTAATTTTCAATAATTTAACAAAAAAATGAAGCTAAACTTATAATACCCATCAATTTTGAAAATAAACATAAGATATACCAAATATTTATATTAAACTTAATAAAATGATAATCATTATCCAACAAATCTAATTGTTAGAACTAAAAACGCAATGCAACGCAAACTTTGAACCCTTTTTCGAGTCTCTGCAATGCGTGTTAGAGTGTCGGGAAGTGTCGGACACAACACGTCAGAATTTTTGAAGTGTCGGTGCATCATAGCAGGTGGGTGACTGTCTGGCAGTCTCTGCTTCTCACTCAAGCCCCCTGGAATTTTATTTCTAAGGGGTATTTTCTCTTTTTCAATTAGTTTCTTTTAGAGTAGGTAAGGTTTTAGGAGGATCATTGGGTGAAGAAGGAAATTCTTTTACGAGGCCTTTCCTTGCCTTTATTAGCTTTAAAATTTGCATTAACTCCCTGTCCAACATTTTGATTGTTGTTTTAAGTTTTAACACTTATATTCCTTCCTGGAATTTCCATTTTTGTTGAACCCTATATGACTGAGACTTTTGAATTTTATTTTGATTTGCTCTTGCATGACTTGTTTCTTTTGTTATCTATTCTGAGTATTGGAGAGTTTAGATTCTACATTTCTACTGGAGTTGATTCTGGGATAAATAAAAAATGCCATAAAAAATTATGAGGAAGGTTATATTTAAAATCTCTTTCCTTGCAACCTCTTACAACCATTTCCGTTATTGTTACATCAAAAGTATATCAACGGTAATAAAATGACATATGAGAGCCGTTGGTTTCATAACAAAATGGTTATAAAAGGTTGTAAGAAAAATGAGGTTGTAAGTGTACCCTGCCTAAAAAAATTATTTATCCCGCAACTAAGGAAGTAAGGAGAAGAGAACAAAGCACCATGAAAATACAAGCATTTCACTTGAACAAAAAGCACCACAGGGCTGAAAAAGCAGCATGCCACCATAATGTTTTCTTCTTGGCTTGAAACCTCTGTCATGACTTCCAATTCACCCAATGAACCTTCGTTTAATCCCTTGATTCACCAAAAAAACCTAAAACCTAATCCATTAGCTCTTTTCTTTCTTACTGTTCTACACCATGCTATTATAGTGTCAGTCATGTCCCTGATAATCTGTTCTGACTTCCAATCATGCAGGGCCACTTTTGAATATGAAAAAAAATTATACAATGATCACCTTGAGTCACTTCAAGGTATGGAAAAGAACTACATTTCTATGTCTAGAGAAGTGGAAAAACTCCGTGCAGAGCTTACAAACACTGCTAATGTTGATAAAAAAAGTAGTACGTATCTCCTCCTGTTACCTGTTTTCCCTGTCAGAGGAGAGCCTTGGTCTTAAATTTTTTATTTTTTATGGATTAATGGAATGCAATAAAATGCAGGTGTGCCTTACGGTGGCACCCCTGGAACTAATGAGAATGAGGCGTCTGGTCTTCCTTTGGGAAAAAATACATATGAGGATGGTTATCCTGTTGCCCAGGTGTGTGCACCCCATGTGTGATGTTCTTTTAATTTTTTGTGGGAGTGCTACATTCTAGTCTACTGTCTAATGGGTGATTTTTTTTGTTCTTCTGCTTATTCCAACTTGATATGATTTTCTTACAAGACTAATGCTTAACATTAGTTTGATTTTGTATCCAATAACCGGGAGAATACCTGAAAAGGACATACTTCGATACGATTTCTGTAAGATATTGTTACTCATTAGTCTGTAAAAATCAGCATTCTTGCAGTGCCAATTTAAATATAACAGAAGTGTTGGTTACTTTGACTAATAATTTTAATATCTATAAAAGGGTCATGGTTGTTGCCTTGATTTCCATGACAAAGATTTGTTGAACTATGCATGTATCTGGAGAGAAAGTTGGACTTATTCAGAAGTGCTATAGTCGGGCTGTTGATGTTGTGGTCAACTTTTTTACGTGCATCTTCTAAAACATAGTCAAAGAAATATTTTTAGTGTAATGTAACAAAAAAAGGGAAAAGTATAACTGAAGGTTATCAATTAGAATTTTAGCAGGGTCTACGTGTTCTTTGGTTGATTCTGATTATAAGGAAGTCCAAATCAGTTGTCCATTTTTAATCTACCCTCTTTAATTTGTCTCCCATGATAATAAATGTCCGTCCTTTATTTTGTTTGCAGGGACGTGGTTTCCTCTCTGCTGCCAGTGGTGGTGGTGCAGCCGGTGCTACAACTGCTGCTGGAGCTCAACCTGGTGCAGTTTCTGCAAGCACTGGTTATAATGCTCCGAGAGGGCCTGGTTATGATGCATCTGCTGGGCCTGCGTATGATGCTCAAAGGGCGGGTACTTACGATGCACAGAGGTTGACTGGTTACGATGCAGTTAGAGGATCTGCTTATGATTCACAGAGAGGAGCAGTTTTTGATGCTCAAAGAACTGGTTATGATCCACAGAGAGGAACTGGTTATGATCTGCAGAGATCTCAAGGTTATGAAATGCATAGAGGACCTGGTTATGATGCATCAAGAGCAAGTGGCTATGATGCACAGTCAAGAGGTGCTGTTGGTCCTCATGGACAAGCTCCTCCGGGGAACAATATGCCTTATGGGTCTACAACACCACCTACTCGCGGTGGAGGTGGATACGAGGCTCTGCCTCGAGGAGCAAACCCTGTCAGGAGATGAGCTTAAGATGACATTTGCCAGTTGGGGAATGGATTCTTTCATCTTATTTTAACATGATGTGAAAAATATCAGTCATTTATTTATAGATCAATGGTCAGCAATTAAAATGACTTTTTTTTTTCCATGTTAGGAATTTTGTCATTAAAATCGTGACCGTTGATTCTTTAATGAATGATTGAGGTTTTTTACGTTACATGGTCATGACTCATGTTAAAACAAGACACGAGAATCCATTCCCTCCGTCATATATTGATGATTCTCAAATCTATTTATAGTTTGTGTCATTCAAATCTTAATGTTTGGAATCTCAAAGATTTTTGATGGGCTTTTGGAAATTTGTTTTTGTCCAGTGTTACCTGAAAGTACATATCTCTCTTGACCATATTTCTCTGTAATGTGTATGGTGGGACTGTAGAGTTAGTAGCCTTTGAGAGATATATACATTCTTTCAGCTTTGAGATGAGGTTGGCAACATAAGACAATCAAGGTCATGTAATACTGTTTTGGCAATTCCAAAGTACGTCTCCCTTCAAACTTAGTCAAGTAAAATTTTGATTATATGATAATTAATTTAATCATTTGATGTATTGAAATATCAAGTGGGATTTTTGAAAGATATATATATGCAACTTATAGTAAAATAACTATTTTTAAAATCCACTTGAAAAAAGGTGGTGTTTGGTTGGAGGATTTTTGTAGGATGCATGGGGAAGTGAGGGAGGACATTCAATAATACCATGTTTGGTAGCACTTAAAAAAAAATGCTGGGGAAATTTTTTGTGTGTAATCTTAAACCAAATTCTCAAAGAAAAATCCCATCCAGTGGGTGGTATTGAGATTTTGCAGGGTAAATGAAAAATTTGATACTAAAATTGTGTCAATATTCTCGGTAAAAATTTTGACCTACCAAATAACTTTTTTTAATTTTTCTATCAAACTCATTTTTCTACCACTTCCCTAGTAATTACATTTTCCCAATATTCAAAAAATTTCTCACCAACCAAACGTCCCCTTGAAATATTTTTATAATCCTAGTAACAAAACCTATAGTTCGATAAACGGATTGGGGCCTCTGGCTGCTATGGTTATTTCATTATCTGGCGGTTTTAGGCAAATGAGTGTATGTTTTTATGTTATAATATAGGGTTATGTTTATCTCATTTTATATGAGATAAATAACTTTTTTACACACACAAAAAGAGGTTGGGTCCCATAACTCTTTTTTCTCTCTCCTCTTACCTGTGAGTCCTACTTATACTTTTATTTCTACAACATGAGATAACTTTTTTCCTACAACATAAAAAAAATATATCCCTATAATATATGCACTAATTATTTTTTATGCTTCATATTTTATTATTTAATAAATTTTTTCATTAATTAAAGTTGTTGGCATTTCAAACTCAGTGAAATTTTGTTATCTTTATATTCAAGGATATAGTATGCATAGTAAATGTAAATAAAGAATTTGATTCTTAAAAATATTATGAAAAATTGAGTTTTTAATGTTTATCTTATTAATAATACAGATATCTTAATTACATTGCATAAGAAGTTTTTTAAGGGATAAAAATTGAGATAAACTACAGTTTTGTTAAACAAATTTCAAGTATTACTTTAAATTTTTGTAAGCATTTTTTTCATATCAAAAAAATCCTTGAAAACATAATTTTTTGTATTTATTATTATTAAAGATTATTTCAATTTAGTTAATATTTATGTTTTATAATATATAAATATATAAATATTTTTATGTTATATAAAGTTAAAATTTTATATCAAAACACAGTTACATTTATCATAATAATTTAAATAAAAATGTACTGCTTATTTAACAATCTCTTAGCATAGCAGTATAGCACAGATAATTTTAAATAGGTTTGGGTTATTTTTTGACCCGTTAATAATTGAGCCGTATCATGCTCCGAAAGTTTAACCCGCCGTAATGTTTATCCTATTAATAATACAGATATCTTAATTACATTGCATAAGAAGTTTTTTAAGGGATAAAAATTGAGATAAACTACAGTTTTGTTAAACAAATTTCAAGTATTACTTTTAAATTTTGTAAGCAATTTTTTTCATATTAAAAAAAATCCTTGAAAACGTAATTTTTTGTATTTACTATCATTAAAGATTATTTCAACTTAGATAATATTTATGCTTTATAATATATAAATATATTAATATTTTTATGTTATATAAAGTTAAAATTGTATATCAAAAAACAGTTACATTTATCATAATAATTTAAATAAACATGTACTGCTTATTTAACAATCTCTTAGCATAGCAGTGTAGCACAAATAATTCTAAATAGGTTTGGATTATTTTCTGACCCGTTAATAATTGAGTCTGCTCCGAAAATTTAACCCTCCCTATAATGCGCACATATAAATACAAGTTCCTTGTTGCGTTTCATTTCTGAAATTCAAAATTTTGTATTTTCCCGCCAACGCTTTCTCTACGATCGGAAGTGCCATGGAAGCAGAATCCCACGGTCTCTCTCTAACACTTTGTCTCTCTTCTTAGGGTTTCATTCTGATGTAAAGATCACCAAGAAAATGATTATAATTCTTCTTCCTTTTTCCTTATCACTTAGCGAATTTAATTTCTCTGACTAAAATCTTCGAGCTAGGGTTTCATTCAATCCGATTTAAGCTAAATTTAGTTTCGATTTTGTCTGAATTCTCCACTGTTCTATGTTTCCCTAAGCACGATGCTGATGCCGTGTTCTTACTGAACCTACAGCTTGTCCAGTTCAAGGTATGGAGCGTGTGGTGGCAACAGTGAGCGGGTACCATGGCTCGGAGCGGTTCAATCTCATCAAGCTGATTTCACATGTCGGGGCCAATTATGTTGGTGCTATGTCGAAATCAATCACGCACCTGGTGAGTTTTTGTTTGTGAGCTTGATTAGTGGTGGATTGCGGTTGGGTCAAAATGTGTGTGCTTAAGAAGATGTATTTTTTTGTCTCTCTATTGTTAAAGGAGAACAAATGTGGAAGTGAGTTTGGCTGAAGGGTTACAAAATGTGTTGTAGATTATAAGCCTTATGTTCTGTTTGAATAAACTGTTTGAAAGTTGTTTGTTTTGAGTTTGAGTGAATAGGTGTGTTGGAAGTTTGAAGGAAGGAAATATGATATTGCCCGAAAGTTCAGAATACTTATAGTCAACCACCGATGGATTGAAGACTGCATAAAGGAACGAAGACGTGTCCCTGAGGATTCTTATCTCTTGCAAAGGTGATTTTTGTTTTCTTGCACCCTTAATGCATTACTATATCAGAGTGGCAGAGTGTATTGGATTTTATAAAATTATGGCTTTTTGAAAGAAAAAGATAACAACGGATAAATTAACTTTTCTCAGCATCCAACATCATGCTCGAAGAATTAAAATGACCATAAAAATCCTTTAACTGATCAACTTGATATGGAAAGTTTTGCTTTAAACCGTATCATAGCTTAATTTGTCACTTTACTATTTTAGAGATATAAAATCATTTAGAAGCCTCGACCTAACAACTTAAACTTTTTAGAAGAACTGGTCGTTGACATAATTGATCCTTGTGTGAAACAGCTTAAATGGTACTAGAGCTACAACTTTGAGAAAGTTGGTCCTTGACAGTTTGATGTCCAATTTTCTGGATATTTTATGTTATTTAATGGGCTTCTTTGCATTGGACTGTGGAGTTTGCTGAAGTTTGTGTTCTAGTTTCTAAAGTTTGGCATAATTGATCCCATTAACCGGTAAGACAATTATTGTGTTTGAAAAAATCTTGTGTGAAACAACTTTGTTGTGTAGGAGTTCATGTTATTGGTACTTCCCTTCACTATAATTTGACATGCAGTAACATTCGGATAATGCTTTTTAAGTTCACTAATTTTTATTATTCATATTATTCAGTGGACATGAAGTAGGGCCATTGTTACTGGAAGTTCCAGTCAGTGTTCAAACAAGTAGCTTGATAAAGAATAGAGTGGTTAGCAACAGGTTATATGATATTAGTTCTGAAAAGCAAAATACCGACTTCAGTCCCGGAGCTTCTGAAAATTCTGTTTCGAAAGATCTTTGTTTAATGACAAAGGTAACAATAGCCTCTCTGCTCTCTCTGTTCTCCACTTGCTCTCTTTCAATCTTTATCATGTACATTCTAAGTGTTTGTAAGCATATTCTGAATCATAATATGTTGATTCCTTCTGAATGGAGCGCAACTTTCATAATGTGATATACGTGGTGTCATTAACACTCATGTTAACAGTTGATGCCATCAACTTAAATTAATTTTCATTTAAGCACCATAGGTGTTCCACTTAAATCTAATGTTTTTCTTATGGTATCAGGTCAGGTTTCTTATAGCATTTCTTGGTAATGTTTATTGCTTGAAGCATTAAAAAAGTACTTCTCGGCAATAACCATTAATGGTTCTGTGGCGGTGGGATGGGATAGTTTTCTTCTAGTGCTTTGATTCATCATCAAAATTGCATATATGTTGTGACTTTTCTGATGTTTTGACATCAATGGTTTAAAAACTTTGTTGGCAATATCTCTTATGACCATACAAACTTGAATGAATCTGTGTTTGCTGCATGCATGAATGCTTCCTTCACAAATACTTTGCTACACAATTTATTTTCCCCATAAAGTGTTCAAAAGGGAAAATTCCAGATTCTTAACTTTGTGAGGATAAGGGTGAGAGTGGATTGTATGTGTAACATCCCCGTCTCGAGCCGGTTCAATTAACATACATATGATACAAACAGAAACAGCGGAAGACTTAACTTAGGAAAATATGAGCTAACTTTTTCTTTTTCTTTTTAAATTCTCATTCGTCGTAAACGAAAATCGGACAGAGTTTCCTCTATAAATCAGACAACTGGGGATTTTCCAATCCCACTCAGAAGCATTTCCTGATAAACAGTTTATACAAATATAATCAAATGCCCATCCATGGGCGCATGCATAACTTGGCTCAGTGCCACTATATCTAACAGCATGCAATCCAACACGTATACATATCTGAATACTACATATTCATATAACGTTCCTGAATACTCAAATGTACATGCATCAAACTGACAGACATGTACAAAACATATACAGGCCATATACAGAATAAAGGATCAATGTCATGTTCCATCAAAGGCGGAAATACAAAACGACATGAATATACTTCCAAAAGGTAGTAGCCTACGGCCACTCAAAATCCGATCCGTCAACTGCCTCAGCCATGTGTCGCGTCCCTGCCTAGTGAGGACTCACCGGGAATCTGGGCACCTGAAAATATGTCCCCAACGAGGGGTGAGATTACAAATCTCAATAAGCTCCAGGTTTATAGAGAATTCTCCATACCCCTGGCTCACTCCTGCATGAAAGTCAGATACAGAGTATACAAATACAACATATAACATATATCATAACAGAACAGAGCATATATCCATATCATATCAGAGATGTGGGCCGTCATTCCCAAGGGAGGACCCCAAGCGGAAATCAACGCACATGTTCCCGAGGGAGGACCCCAAAGCGGAACCAGACATATCAGAGGCGTACACCATCAGTCCCGAGGGAGGACCCCAAAGCGGACATCCGGGTACTATACAATCAATGGCCAGAGATTGTTACAGAAATCATATTACAGAAGTCATATCAGAGCAAAACATATCATGTTATCAAATAACTCTATATGAATGCATCTATACAAAGCATCTAAATCACAGTCATACAGTCCAACCATAGTTCACTAACCATGGTGGAGCACTCAAGCAGGAAAAAAACTCCTTAAACATAGAGCTTACCTCTTGAAGCTTTACCAATACCTTTACTTGTTGCACAAGTTACTTATATATCTTCAAGAGATTCTGATTCCTTTTTAGTCCCTAGGTACACCTAGAGCAAGAATCCACAAATACCAATTAATAAAATGCCATCATGCCTAGCTTTCACATAAGGCATACATTTTATCGCTTCTTTTCATTTCTTTGCATTTTTGCCAATCCTATGCCAATACACAAGTCTAGACCTCTTTATAACCGTTGGTGTTCTTTAATTTAATCATCCATTCCCTTACGAATTTCCAACATAAATCATAGCATTTTACTTTAAAGGACCGTGGGCCTAAAATTAGGAAATCAATATATTTTTCCATGATTTCTTTTCAAACCATTTCACTTCATGACTTATCATTTTCATACTTTGAAACACACATATTTTATTAAAATAAAATATGACAACATCTTTCCCTAAACACCCTATATGTCGACTTCTTTAAGGGAATTTCCAAGGATCCTTCTCTTTTACAATACATTTTCCTCACTTAATTTAACAACTACACGTACATAAATATATAATATATACCAAGTTCCTATTTAATTTTTGGGAATCTCAAGCTCTTTAAATCCTTCAAGGCCGAAACATCAAGGGTATGTTTCAAAGGATTTTCTTTCAAATTTAACATTCTTACTAACTCATCAAATTTCCTCTTATTCAAGCACATTAAACCTTCCCAATACATACAATAAATCTTTGCGCATCACCCCTAATTACCCTATCAAGGCCGAAATCTAGGGTATGTCACCATGGGATTTTTTTCCAATTTTTATACATGTTCATATGCTTATTCCATATTCCTATATCCAACACATCATCAATCCATCATCAATTCAAATTTTAAACTAATTTATTTCACACCAACACATGCTCACAATTTCTATGACACAAACCATCAAAATAACATCATGGAAACAAAGGTTTCTTACCATTAATCAACTTACCAAAGCCTAGAAAGCAACCTCCAAGCCAAGCTCCATCAAAAACTCACTTTTTCCACCTTGGATGAATAGTGCACGAAAATGAGATGACCAGTATCTCTCTCCACACACGAAATCAGCTCAAACGGAGGGGTGGAATAGCTTCCTTGGACGATTTCCTATGAGATTGGTATATTGGGTGGAAGATTTGGTGGCTTAACCATGGAGAAATCAAAGAAGGAAGAAGACAACCCCAAACCCTTCCCCCATGGCTGCAGATCGGTTTTGAGAGTGAGGAGAGGAGAGAGAAACTGATTTGGAAGTGAGACTTAAGTGACTTAAGAAGGTGAGCACATGTGGCCTTTTACCCGGGTATTTTCTTTCGCGTATTTTCACTTAAACTAACCCGGAACTAATTCAAAGCTACAAATATATTTTTATTTTTCTAAAATCATTTATATTACTTTTTAATTCTTACACAACAATATTCATAATTCACAGTATGATTTTTGCACCGTTTTTGACGAAATGCATTGTGAATCACTAATTGTACTTCATTTACTTATGAAACTTAAACTTATAAACTTATCATTTTCTTGGGCCTATATTGACTTGCTTGGCATATATTGGACTTTCTTATTCTTATTTCATCAATTATTTGTTTCTGGGCTCTACCGGTTGCTTAAACAGCAGTACAAAATACCCGGTAGAAACACTATTCACGAGATTTTCACGGAAAGTGCCAGACTATACAATTTTTCGTTCTGAACTCATATTTGTCGTCAGAATTATCAAATTATGTTCCTAAAATTATTTTGCTCATTTAAGCTATACCGGTTAATTCACAAAACTGTAAATTCTCCGGCAGAACGCACTGTTCATAACATAGTCATGATTACAGTCAAAATACTCGAAATCGCTCACTGAATCTTATTATGGCATTTAAATCCTTAAATTAAATCTCTAACTAAGATTTACCAGTTAGGGTCATTATAGTATGCAGACTTACTTTTGTATTTTTGCAAAGAGATTGTTTTCCATATTCAAACCTTTAGCCAGAAGGTCACAAAGGAGTGCTGCCCTAAGGCTCGCCCTCTTTCCATAAAGTTTTCAATGAAAGAAAAATGTGTCATATGCTTGACTTAAGTATGGATAGTAGAAATTGCTTTTAAGAATCTAATGCAACACACATGACAATATAAACTAGCTGATAATCTGAAAGAGCTCTTTGACTTTGCAGGGTCTTTAAATTACTTGCATGTACGATACTCTTGAATATAGCTTTATTATTAAATGCATTGCATGTGAATTTTAGGTACAATTCTTAAAATGAAAGTGAAAATTGTTTTAAACATATCAATATAGGGGTTACAAAATCCTTGTGATGCATTGTATTATATAGGTAGATGAAGTAAATGAAAAATGAATTAAGTTTCTGTTCTTTTTGAATGCCTGGTAAACTTAATTTATCTGCATTTTCCATTTCTTAAGCATGAGGAGTCAAGTTCGTATTCATCTAGACTGTCAAGGAAAGGAAAAGAAAATAAATTCAATGGTAATGGAGCTGGTACTGTGGATGGACGTTCTCGCAAAGGAAGAAGGCTTGTGAAAAGTATTGTTGATAAAGAGGTGTTGGAGCCTTCAATTTTGGATTTAAGCCCTGAGAACCACCTTAGCAGAACGGATAGACTACATACAGATGGTGCAGCTACCTCAAGCCTTTCTGGTGGTGTCAATAATAAAAATATTCTAGAAAATAGAGAAGGCCCAGATGCTGGATTATATAATCAATGTAGAACTATCGATGGAGGTTCAGATGGCATTGAACAGATCAGAGATTCAACATTGTTTGTAGAAGATCCCCTTCCTATGGCACAAACATCAATAGATTTATGTTCCAGTGCTGAAGAGTTCACAGTTGGTGATCACGTTGATAATGTTACTAGTTCACCTACTACAAAAGAGTTGTCGTGTGTTATATGTTTCACGGATTTCAGCTCAACAAGGGGGATTCTACCGTGTGGGCATCGGTTTTGTTTTCCATGCATCCAGACTTGGGTTGATCATACGGTATGTCTCTTCTTATCTTTTATCTGCCATTCTTATAATTAAAAAGCCTATTCATTAATTAGTATGATTTTGACAAGAAACTTGAAGTGCACCACCCCAAAAGCTAGTTTAAAAGGCGGGAGTGCTCAATGCCTTATAAACTCCACATTAGTTGCCCATACAACCAAGGTGGGACTCCAAGTCCCATACCTTGCAAATGAGATTGTAACAGATTCTCTTTTGCATGTTTTTCTTTCAATAGATTTCAAAGTTGCTCTCTCTCTCTCTATTTTTTTTTTTAATTCTAGTTTAAAAATGTAATTTAACTTTCATTCAACCAATAATAATTTATCTTCTGATTTCGCATTGGAATTTGAGGCGCCATCTAATTGACATTGTTGCGCCTTATTTTCTTAGTTAAAACAACCCCTCTCAACTTTGAAGCTGTTTCCAAAAGGTTTGAATTGTTTTAGTGTGCTACTACGCTATCATATTTAGTCAAATTGCTGCTTAAATTTTCTTTGCAAAGTTGATGGCACATGGCATTCACTCAACTTTTTTTTACGTATTAAATTATACCAGCTCTTGCACAAAATTTACCATTCACATAACTTCCAAATAAAGGTTGAATGGGTCGGAATCTTTTACAATTCATCCTCTTCTGTTTAAAGAGACACAATGGTTAATCTTTTTTAGGTAAATATATAACAGTAATCTGACATGTGAAGAATTAATCTAAATTTTTTGTATTGATAATTTTGTAGTATGGATAATGAATAAAAGTGGTAAATAGATCCAGTGATTAGTTGTGTGGTTACAATAAATAAAACATGGGCTTCTCAGTTCTCATTCTAATATATCTCCAACAGTTAAAGGATGTTTTCACATTTTAGAGTTTTTTTTTTTTTTTTTTTAATGTTTATTTCCCCACCTAGTGGTAAAAGGATTTTGTAGTATTTATTTTATTTTACTTTTCTCATGCAATAGCTTGTGGTTTTCATCCGGGATGTTGAATGGATTATGTAGAAATGTTTTTCTTGTTTAGCTTTAATCTCTAACGTCAGTTGAATGTTTCTTTCATTCTCATTATTGCTAATAAATATTTATAGGCTTCAAAGGGAAAAATATCAACCTGCCCTTTGTGCAAGGCGAGTTTTATAATGATCAAGAAAATTGAGCATGCAGCCACAACTGATCAAAAAGTATTCTCCCAGACAATCCCATGTGAGAATTCAGCCTCAGATATTTTTATCCCCATGGATATAGAACTACCTGATAATAGCTTTGAGGTATGCTTATCCTTTAAACTAGATTAATTGTTGTGCTACGTAGGGTGTTATTTTCTTTTAATTTTCATATTAGTTGACATATGAATAGTTTTTTTCTTATATGAAAATATTATTTTTTCTTTGAAATTATAATTTTTTCCTATTTACTTCAAATATATGTGTATTATATTTTTTTATTATTATTTATTTTTCCTTAGTATATTCTTACTTTTATATGGGTTCATCAACTGCTGATCCCAACTATTTTGGAATTTGGATAAATGTAATGTTACATGTTTCATATTAGTTGAAATCAAATAGTACCATGGTGCTTGGAGCCTTGGAGTAATTTATAGAGGGAATGTGTGCTTCAAACAACTAAAAGAGACCATAAAAGAAATGAAAATATAGAAAAGAGGAAAGAAGTTGCTAGAGATACACAGAGGGAATACTATGAAGGGTGTTTGTTTAAGGAGTAAGATTTAGAATGAGAAGCTGCCTTATATTTGCAAGATTGGTTGCTGGCTTGGTGATTATAAAATAGTGTTTTACATTGTGGCATGTTTATATTCCTGACAGACAGACTTCTATAAAAAAAATGGAGTGTATGCCTGTCTTTTTAATAGAGTGATCTAGAGGTATTTAATATGACCCTCATATGCTCTTATGCCTAAATTGGACAGTTCATGTATATCTTGTAGTTTGATTGGTAGTGCTACTACCATATGGTGGAAGTGATTATGCCCGAAAAAGATAATAAAACACGAGCTGGCAACTTCTGCTTTACTGAAAGGAACTTTTTTGTGTGGCTTTCATTGATTTATCTTGCCCGTTATGAATTCTTGTTTGTGTGATAAACCAATATTCTCACTAGCAGCCTTATAATATCTTAAGCATGATCTGGTAGTAATGTAGGGTTTCTCTTTAAATAATCATTTTTGCTGAATTTTGTCTTTGTTAGGTAGGCCATGGTCCCCCTGATCCGAGAAGCTTATAACTTGTGTAATATTGAAATTTAATGGGTTATTACTTATTAGCGTGATTGAATATGTTGATAATGCATATAAGAATCCAGTAAAAGATACTGAAATGGCATAATTTGCTTTCATTGATTTGTGAATGGCTAATTTTGTGATGATTCCACTAAATATTCCCATCCTTATAGCTGCTTTGCACTACTCTCCACTGAGAATGAAGGGAGCATCTGCTACTCTTCAATTTTGAGTTTATCAAATATCTACCACTTCTCACACCAAAAAAAATAAAAAAAATCTACCACTTGAAATCTTACGAAAAAGTATATTCTATTATGGAGATCGTGTCGAAAATTGCAAAATAAATCTGCGAAGAACTGTTGGCATGTTGCAGAGTTTGGGCATCTATATTAGAATGATTTTGCGTACTGGATTTTCTTCAACCATGTACTTTTGATAACATGTTCAAATAATTCATTATTGTCCACATTTTGACCGGAACTTTTTGCATATTTTAATATTGGGTTCCATTTTTCTTTGAAAATAATTATCTTTTTGCAAAAAATAAAATAAAATAACTATGTACTAAGAGTAGTACATAATTATAATGGTAAAATTATTTTTTCTCTTTCTGTCACGTTAACCAAAACAATGTTTGAGGGGAGAAAAAAAAACGGAAAAGAGAAAATAAAATAAAATTTAATACTGTAACTAAATATTACTATATATATTTTTGTTTTTGTTTTTTTTTTCTTTCTTTTAAGAGAGATTTTCTTTTGAGAATGATTTCCGTTTAATAATTTGTGCTACTTTGTGGTTTGTCTTTTGCTTATACAGTCCTCACAGGCAGGTGCTTGTGTAGTTTGCCGTGGTCGGGAACCTGAGGATCTCCTTGAGAGTTGCGATGTTTGCCGGACTCGAAGAATCCATTCATATTGCATGGACCCTCCTTTACGACCCTGGACATGCACTCACTGCAAAGAACTTCGGATTCTTTATCGTAATCACTCATATTAATTAGTACGCGTCTTTTTATCCATTATAAAACTCATGGAACTCCTTCCTATGAAATGCTGTTCTTAAATCATCGTGTAATGAAATTCATTGTGATAATTATATGGTGATTCACATCTCAACTTTGGATAGTGTTAAATAGAACGAAATTTATTTATGACACTAAAATTTGAATTTATTAATAATCTCTTCATTTAACTTTTTTCATTTTTTGTAAATGAATAAAGAAATTTCGGTGGTCGAATTTTGGGTCCTCCGGTTCTGCTTCTACCAACCAAAGCCATCAATAGCAACACAGCACGCTAGTGACTCAACACCCGGAACTCGAATAAATTTTTATTATATTAGATGAATTGTATTTTTTCAATTATTTTGTGATACGTGGATAAAAAATATCACATTATTCGAAGATGACGGGAGCAGCTGCCGCCGCCGACCATAAATAGTTTTCTTGTGATTCGGAAAAAATAAATAAATTTAATAACACTTTACATAATTTCAAACTAATTATTATTAGCTTCATTAACTTCACTTCGGTTCTCGACTTAGGAAGAAGTCACATGAACGCTGGGCTTCAAGCGGTGGGGAAGCAAATTCAGCAAAATCACCGGCAGCCTTCAATGTGATAAATGAAAAGTAGTTCAACCATTTGTCCGTGTGTGGAGGAAAAGAGGAAAAGTGGAGTTCATCTGTTTTCATAAGAGATAAAATGAATTTTTTTTTACAGAAATATTATTATACACATGATTTTGATCCAATAATACAAAAAAATCATAAAATATTATAAGAAAAAATAATTGAAGTATAATCTTTCTTATATTTTATGTTTTATAACGAAAAAGTGTTATAGTATAAATTTTTATTTTTATATATCCCTATATTTATGAGAGAGATTATATTTATAATCTTGTTCGCTCAAAATTTTTTACAATCAAATCTTAATTGAATTTTTCGTTAATTTGATAGTTATAATTTTTTTGATTTCTATCAATCTTAATTATTGATTTTTATAAATTTGACGGTTATAATTATTAAAAATTAATAATTAATTAATAAATATGATCAAATAAATTATAATCATCAGATTGACAGAAATTAATTATTAAAATTTGGAGAAAGTTATATTTACAAATTTTTTGTTTATATATTTTTACAAATGATACACTAAGTATGACCGGTCATACTTCAATCAAGAATGTATGACCAGTTAGTGTAAATTGTAAAAAAAATTTGTAAACGGATTCTTCTCCTTAAAATTTAGTTATAAGAGATTATAAGATAAAAGAGATTGTAAATATAATATTTATTATATTTATATATATTCTGAGAATAAAATATGTCTTTGGGTGACAGATATATAAACGTTGTTTCTTTCTTTTAGAGTTCAGTTGCCGCGCAGGCAATATTTATTTATTGGGTTTATTTTTTCTACGGTTAATGTAGATATCTATAATGATCCTAAAATGATGTCGTTTTGAGATAGAAATAAAGATATTTTTGTAATTATAATTTATTTCAGAGTTATAATAATATTTTTTATTATAATTTTTTAATTTTTCAATCTAAAACAATGTTATTTTGAAAACAAATGTAAATAACGAATCTACCTTAATTTTAAAAACGTTAAAGTCTTATTTATTTTGTCTTTTTCAACAGTATTCTAAAGTTTTGTTACAAGTAAGCCATTCGAATTTGTCTTTTAATTCTTGGAATTTGGAATGGAAAGAATCAAAGAAAACGAAAGGCGAATTGCTTGGTAAAATTACATTGGTGCACATAATTAAGGTCATTCATTGCTTTTCAAAACAGGACATAGAATGAAAACAATGAACAATAATGACATGTCTAACATCATAGGAGAGAAGGAAATAACGAGGAGATTTTTTTTTCTTCTTTTAGAAATTCAGTCTATATATCTTATGTATAGTAAATTAACATATTCCTATTTTAAATTAAAACAACGGTTCATAGCACAAAAAATTATACAGCTGTCTTACACGTTAGTGTATACCTTGTATAAAAGAATTTATATGATGAGGACAAGAGAAAATCATAAATTTATAAAATATTTAAGTTGAATCATGGCTGTAAAAAGCAAAGAACCTCAAGCAAACAATACTCAATCAGGACCGAAAACAAATCAGTGAAAACTTATACGAGTTAAGTAAAGATAATAAGCGAAAAGTTTTATAAATTATTTAAATTCATTTTTAATTAATATAATAAGATTGTTGTTAAAATCTCGATTTATCATTACGATTTTACGTTTTTATCATTTTTTTTCCATCAAAACGATTTTACTAATATTCCAAATGCTTTTACGTTTTTTTTATGATTTTTTTACATTACGATTTTTTAATCTCCTCTCGATTTTACTTAAAATCTAGATTTTTACAACATTAAATAAGACTTTATTATTTATATTTGAATATTTAATATTCACCCTGTGATACCAATTATCACTTCCAAGTATTAAGCCCATCTAAATCATTAACTCTAACACCACTTATTAGGTGATTAAGGAGAGTAAAACTAAATGAAACCCCCATGAATGAACTAAGTAGCAACAAAATTAAAATAATAAACATATTATTAATTATTATATTCATAATCACCCTTTGTTTTCCTTTGTTTAGGTTACTTTACACACATTATAAAGATCAAAACTGCTTCCATTTCCTCTATCCTCTTTCCTTCCTCTTCAATCCCTTTATCTTTCTCCATCCCTTCCACAATGAAGTTCCAAAATATTAAGCTTCTCTTTGAGAACAAATGCGCAAAAAAAATCATCTCAAAAGTAACTATACCAGCAATCTTTGCCATACTCTTGTTTACCATCACCCCATTATCTTATCCTTTGTTTGGTTTCTCTTCACTCTTGAACATCAACAAATCTAAGCTGCAATCCTCTGCATATGATGATCATTTGAATGAAGCAACAAGCTTTCCCTCAACAACTGTCAACAAGTGTGACATTTTCAATGGGGAATGGATACCAAATCCAAAGGCACCATATTACACAAACAGAACATGTTGGGCAATTCATGAGCACCAAAATTGCATGAAATATGGAAGACCTGACTCTGAGTTCATGAAATGGAGGTGGAAACCAAATGAGTGTGAACTCCCAATATTCAACCCCTTTCAGTTCCTAGAAATTGTTAGGGGAAAATCTATGGCTTTTGTTGGAGACTCAGTTGGAAGAAATCAGATGCAGTCTATGATATGCCTCTTATCAAGGGTAAGTCTCTTCTAGCTTCTTCAAGATTGCTCTGGCTCAACAATTATTATTATTATTATTAGTTTTTTTTTTTTTTTTCACTTGCTTTTGTTTTTTTCTTTTCTCTCTTTAATTTATGATATCATTTATCTTTGCTTTGGTGGTACGTTATTCTGTAATCTATACGTGGGACTTCACACTGCTAGCTAGTGAAAACTCATCATTATGCTTCTCAATTAAGCTTATAGAATAATGAAGAGATAGTCATCAATAAGGTTCAAACTACCACATTATTTAACTAGTAAGCCTTAATTTCAATACTCATGAAATATAGTTAATTAAATATTGAGTTTAATCTAACGGCTCGTTTGATGGACATGATAGGATAATAATAGGATATGATATGGGGCTAATAAGTCTATATCATGTCCTGTGTTTGATGAGCACCTGATTAGCAATATGATAAGATTATGTAGAAGGAGAAAGGAGAAAGAAAAAAGAAAATATAATGCAATAAATACAAATATATTGGGTAGTGTGAGGATATATTAGGTATTCAATATTAGTATCTTATCCTGTTGAATCCTAACCGAGCTCCCCATAGGATAAGAAATCATGTATTGGATAGGATAAAATGAGACAATAGAATAAGTTAATCATATCCTATTGATCCACTAAACAAAAGATAAAAATAAGATATGATAAGTTATCTTATCCTATCTTTTTTATCAGGTGCTCTAAACAGGTCCTAAATCTCGTTTTTCCAAATCCAAGGCCCATTATGTGATTCAAGGATTGGGTAATCAATTATCATATAGAATTGAAACAAATAATCGTCAAGCATCGAATATAGGATACCATGTCCTATGTTCCTAACCAAGCCACATGAAACGTAGACAAGTCAGTGTTTTTTTTTTTTTATATGACATGCCATCTGTTTTTGATTTTCTTTACTTTTGAGTTCCCAGCAAAAATCAGTGTTTATGAATTAGTGCATAAAAAAGGGTCACTAAAAATTATACCTTAATTCACAACACTTGTGCCATTAGCTTATGCATTAAGCTGCTCTAAAAGTGACTCAGTCAATGATGGTATTGGTAGTAGTTCTTTACATTTTATTAGCCTCTTTTTTAGATGACATGACTACTTTGAAGTGGTAATGTCACCTAAACCAGCCCTTATGTCTACAATAAATATTGAATCCTAACAAAACCAATGAAGTAAAACTTGTTGAGATGTCACAATTAGAAGAGATAGACTAGGAACAAAAAATTGCCAAAACTCTTAAACACGCTCCTTTTATGATTGTAGGCTCTCTTCAATATAATTTTATTTATATTTTCTTTGACATATCAACCAACTTAGCATGCGATAGCAACATTGATAAGGATATATGTTGGCTAGTAACTCAGCTTGATTAGACTCAGGTCGGTGAGATTAATAAAATCTTAAATAAAAGTTTTTTTAATTTTTAATTAACATTAATCATTAAGAAAAAAAAGTACAGGGAAACCTAAAAGTCAGTTGTTGAAGGTAGGAAAATATCTGATGCTTACTGTTGTTTGATAATTCAATTACTTTATTTCCTTTGGGCTTAAGTTGTTGTTTGTGTGTGAGCTTTGATTAATTGGTTGTGGAAGCCAAGATGAGAAAACCTGATGGGTCCCCCCCCCTTTTTTTTTTGGTAAACTGATGGGTCCCCTTAATTATTTAAGCAGATAGCTAATGCTAAGAAATTGAATAACGTGATAATATATACACAGTCAAATAAAAAATTATGTTAATATCAAATTCATATAATAATATGGGTTCGTTTTTTCTGCAATTACTGCAGATAAATTATCTGCAGTAAGTTCAATACGACATCGTTTTAGAAGTAAATACAAATAACTTATCTGCAGTAACTGCAGAAATATTTTTCTATAATAATATAATTAGATTAGTGTTTATCATATTGTAGGAGATAATTTTATCTCCTACACAAACTTAAGTCTATATATTTTTTTTATCTCTTCTCTTCACATGATCTCACATATTTTTATGTGTATGTAGAAGATAAAATTATCTCTTATAATATGAGAAACATAAATCTCATACATTATTTATCAAATTCCTTGTCCTTAGCGTGAGAATTAACAAATGTTTATTATAGCTGGCTATAGGCTGGAACCTTCAGGTTTGTAACATGCAATATTTAAGCAGGGAACAAGAAAGCTTGATTAAATAGTAATAGAGGCAAATTGTAATTATTATAAAGGTTATGTTACTTATAAAATTATTTGAAATAAAGGTTATGTTGATCAATCGTAAGTCTTCTTAACTTCTCAGGTGGAATGGCCCATAGATGTATCATACAAAGCAGATAACTATTTCATGCGATGGAAGTATCCTAGCTACAACTTCACCATTGCCACTTTTTGGACACCCCATTTGGTCAGAGCCAAAGAAGCAGATTCAGATGGTCCAAGCCACACTGGCCTATTTAACCTTTACCTTGATGAGTTTGATGAGAAATGGACAACCCAAATTGAAGAGTTTGACTATGTCATTCTCAATGGAGGGCATTGGTTCTTTAGGCCAATGGTTTTCTATGAGAAACAAAAAATAGTTGGATGCCATTATTGCATCTTAAAAAATGTCACTGACTTAACCATGTACTATGGCTATAGAAAGGCTTTTAGGACAGCATTTAAGGCCATCAATAGTTTAAAAAACTTTAAGGGAATAACATTTCTTAGAACATTTGCACCATCTCATTTTGAGAATGGGTTGTGGAATCAAGGTGGGAATTGTGTGAGAATAAAGCCATTTAGGAGTAATGAGACACAATTAGTAGGCACCAATTTGGAGTTATATATGATCCAATTAGAGGAGTTCAAAATTGCTGAGAAGGAAGGCAGAAAGAAGGGTTTGAAATTCAGGTTGCTTGATACAACACAAGCAATGTTATTGAGACCAGATGGTCACCCAAGTAGATATGGGCATTGGCCACATGAGAAAGTGACACTCTATAATGATTGTGTGCATTGGTGCTTGCCAGGGCCCATAGACACATGGAGTGATTTCCTGCTAGAAATGTTGAAGACGGAGAGGTTTCATTTGCACACAAATTGACAAATCAATTTGATTTATATATATCAATTATATACCTATTTTTTCTTGTAAACTACCATTGGCATTTTTTTTTTTGTAATTTTATAAAGATTAAATTTGTTATGTTGTAACAAAATTGAAGATTTTTCTTGTTCAAAAGTTTATATTTTTTTATTTACTTTTTACAATGATATTATGATAACTTTAACTAGGGAAACCTAATGATATAACATACTAATTTTTGAATCATTGACCAAAGTGATATACTACTTTAAAAAAATTATTAAAATAATATAATTTGAAAACTATTTACTTAAGTAGTATTTGAGATCTTTTGATTATGCGAGTCTAAAAAATATAACACCAGTCAATCATACAGTGATAACACGTAAAAATTCCCTTTGAGAGAAGCTAGTCCACTATAATGTGAATGTTCTTGACTCGAACATGGTTGTCTCCCGTAAATGATATTTATGGTTTACCAAAAAAAATTTACATCACTTTGATAAAATTTTTAATTATATTATTTTGATTTTTAAATAATATATGTGATTTTAATCAATCAATCCTAATTTTTTTGAGATAAATAAGGGTGTTAACAACAACAACAATAATAATATAATAACTAGTTATTTACCCGTGCGATGCCCGGGGGAAGAAGAACGAAATTATTGTCGGCTGTCGTTGGTTAATAATTGCACCGATAAATCAACACCTTCATCTTGCTATGAAGCTCTGAATGGTACAATAGTGGAAGTATAAACTCGAAAGAACAAAAAACAAAAAAGCAAACCTGGTACTTGTGAAACATCTCAAATAAAGAAGATTTGTCTTGCTATTTTGTGCTATTTTTGAACTTGAATAGCTTAATGCAAATTTTAAATAAAAATTTTAAATAAAAATTTTAAATAAAATTTTGTAGGACAAAACATGTAATTGTATCATGTAACGATGGCATGAATATGGGGTGTCATTGTTGTTAGGCGAATCCAGGGGGAAGTTCGTGGTGGGGGACCACCACCAATGAGCTAAGCGGATCAAATACACCAAGTGGGTCCGACACCACATCTCAACCTAAAACCTTAAGGCATTGGGTTCATGGATCCTTCCACTTATATACTCTTCACTTAGCCTATTACCAACCAATGTGGGACTCATCCCACTTGAATACTCCAACAATCTCCCCCTCAAGTGTGAAACCCACCATTGATTTGCTCCCCCTCAACCGAGTACCCTAGAGGCTCAAGTACTCAACCCGCCTCCTAACCAATCACCAGACTAGCTCGAGCCCAACCCGACTCTGATACTAGAGTCAGGCGGGTCTAGGGGGAAGCTCGTGGCGGGGGACCACCACCAATGAGCTAAGCGGATCAAATACACCAAGTGAGTTTGACACCACATCTCAACCCAAAACCTTAAGGCATTGGGTTCATGGGTCATTCCACTTATATACTCTTCACTTAGCCTATTACCAACCAATGTGAGACACTTGAAAGAAAAGGGTATTTGAAATATTATTGAATTGTGTATAATCTGTACAAAGGGTTCTCTATTTATAGAGAATACTTGACCTAATTTTGACCTAATGGGCTTGGCCCAATACAACAAATAAATGACTAAATAATAACTAAATAAATGACTAAATAATAACTAAATAATAATTATTTACAACACTCCCCCTCAAGCTGAGGAATAGATATTTATCATTCCCAGCTTGCTAGTAAGTTCTTGAAATCTGTCTGAAGGAAGCCCCTTTGTTAATAGATCAGCTAATTGACGCCCAGTGGGAATGTATGGAGTGGTAATCAACCCGCTATCAAGTTTCTCTTTGATGAAATGGCGGTCGACCTCAATATGTTTAGTCCGATCATGTTGAACTGGATTATGAGCTATACAAATAGCGGACTTATTATCACATAGCAGCTTCATAGGTCCCTCACATTTTATTTTGAGATCATCAAGTACAATTTTCAGCCACAGTAACTCACAAATGCCTTGAGCCATAGCTCGAAATTCAACTTTTGCACTTGATCTGACAACCACATCTTGTTTCTTACTTCTCCATGTCACCAAGTTACCGCAAAGAAACATGCAATAACCAGTGGTAGAACGACGGTCAGTCACGGATCCAGCATAATCAGCATCTGTGTAGACTTCTAAAGATAGATTGCCATCACGTCGGAATAACAATCCTTTACCAGGAGTACCTTTAAGATACTGAAGAATTCTCTCTACTGCCTGCATGTGTTTTTCCTTTGGATCGTGCATAAACTGACTGACAACACTAACAACATAAGCTAGGTCTGGTCTAGTATGGGCCAGATATATCAATTTCCCAACTAGCCGTTGGTATTGTCCTTTATCAACTGGAGGACTCTCTTCTTCATAGCCCATCTTGTGATTCTGCTCAATAGGAGTATTAGAGGGTTTACACCCGAGCTTTCCTGCTTTTTTGAGAAGATCCAAAACATATTTCCTCTGGCTGATAAAAATTCCTTTGCTTGAATGAGCTACTTCTATCCCTAGAAAATATCTCAGTTTCTCAAGGTCTTTGATTTCAAACTCAGAGGCAAGCCGTGTTTGCAGAATCTGTCTCTCCACAAAATCATCACCTGTGATAATAATATCATCAACATATACAAGGAGCACAGTAAGCTTCCCATTTTGGGAGTGCTTGAAGAAAAGAGTGTGATCTCCTTGACTCTGTCTGTATCCTAAGGTCATCATAACCTTAGTAAACCTTCCAAACCAAGCACGAGGTGACTGCTTCAATCCATACAAGGCCTTTTTTAATCTACAAACTTTATTTTCCCCCTTCACAGAATCAAAACCAGGCGGGATTTCCATGTAGACTTCTTCTTCTAACTCACCATTGAGGAAAGCATTTTTCACATCAAATTGATTTATATCCCAATTGTAACGGGCAGCAAGGGATAACAAGATTCTTACTGTATTCATCTTTGCAACTGGAGCAAAGGTTTCTTCATAATCAATGCCATAGGTTTGAGTGTAACCTTTGGCCACTAATCGAGCCTTGTATCTCTCAAGAGTGCCATCAGAATTATATTTCAGGGCATAAACCCATCTGCACCCTACTGTTTTCTTTCCGTTGGGTCTATCAATAACCTCTCATGTTTTATTTTTCTCCAAAGCATTCATCTCCTCTTGCATGGCTTGAGCCCAATTCCTATCTTTCAAGGCTTCATGTACTGATTTTGGGATTGCAATAGAGTCTAGTGCTGAAACAAAGCTTTTGTGCTGCACAGAAAGATTAGCAGAGGAAACAAAATGGGAGATAGGGTATTGAGTACAAGAGGGACAGGAGGGACAAGATTTCTTGGGACAAGCTCTTTTTCCTTTTCTAAGAGCAATGGGTAAATCATCAGAATCAGTAGTAATGAGTAAGTCATCAGAAGTATTAACATCATGATCAGAAATATGAGATTCAGGACTTACCAGTGGTTCAGACGATTGAGGTTGCTTCTGAGACAATGTGGGTTGTTTCCTTCTTTCAGGTGTCATAACCTTCCGTATCTCTGGTGTACTTGATGTATCAATCACAGGAGAATCAGTCACAGGAGGATTACTCACAAGAGGATTAGACACAGGAGGAACAGACACAGGAGGATCAGACACAGGAGGAGGATACACTGACACAGGTGAAAGAGTAGACACTGAAGTTTCAAAGAAGGAAGGTGATGAGTCTTCTGGTGAATTATTCTCCCCCTGAAGATGAGGACCTTGGAAAAAGGACTCAGATTCCTGAAATGTAACATCCATAGAAACAAAAAATTTCCGACTTCCAGGGTGATAGCACTTATAGCCCTTCTTATCAGGAGCATATCCAAGGAAGACACATTTAAGAGCCCTAGGATCCAACTTACTGCGATGCTGTTTATGAATATGAACAAAGACAACACACCCAAACACTCGAGGAGGAAGACTTTGCAAAATTGGAACAGAAGGAAAAAAAGAAGTCATGGAGTGAATAGGACTTACATGATCGAGAACCCGAGTGGGTAGACGATTGATCAAGAACGCTGCAGTAAGAATGGCATCTCCCCAATAGCATTTGGGTACATGTGTTTGAAACAGTAAGGCACGAGCAACTTCAAGAAGGTGACGATTTTTCCTTTCAGCAACCCCATTTTGTTGAGGGGTGTCTACACAAGTAAGTTCATGAATCATACCTTGATTTTGTATAAATTGGGAAAAAGAGTGATTGACATATTCAGTACCATTATCTGTCCTTAGTCTTTTGATTTTTTTACAAAATTGAGTCTCAATCATTTTATAAAATTGAAAGAACAGTTGTGGTACCTCAGACTTTTCACGCATTAAGTAAACCCAAGTTACACGAGTGCAATCATCAATAAAAGAAACAAGCCATTTATTTTCAGAAGAATGAGGGACCTTAGAAGGACCCCAAACATCAGAATGAATAAGATCAAAAGGTTCAACACTCTTAGTAATACTAGAAGGAAAAGACACACGATGATGCTTAGCAAATTCACAAACATCACAATGAAAAGACTCAACAGACTTAGACAAAAACAATGACGGAAATAAAGATTTGAGTAAACTAAATGGAGGATGACCCAAACGCTTATGATGCAGCCAAATTAAAGAATCAGCAGTTGATTGACCATGAGACATGAAGGTGTGATCTGTTACTTTATTTGTGGGAGATTGTGACACCAGATAGTACAGCCCACCTTGCTCTTTAGCAATACCAATCGTCTTCCCCGTGGCGAGATCCTGAAAAACACAATGGGTAGGGAAGAAGGTTACAATACAATTCAAATCTTTTGTAATTTTGTGAATAGAAAGAAGATTCGTGGAGAGTTTAGGAACATGAAGAACATCCTTAAGATGTAAGGACTGCTGTAAGTTTATGTCACCAGAACCCGCAACTGATGTATGTGAGCCATCAGCTATGGATATTGTATGAGTTCCAATGGTAGGATGATAAGAAATAAAGGAGCCAGCACAACAAGCCATATGATCAGTAGCACCAGAATCAACAACCCAAGAATGTTTAAAATCATTACATGAGGAAATGAAAGAATGAGTTTTGGAGCTCATACCAGTCATAGCCAAAGCACTAGTATCAGATGGCTTACTCAGATAATCAAGAATGGTTCGGAGTCGTTCCAACTCATTTGGACGAAATGCAGATTGGGTCTCATTAGGTGCAGGGGTTATTTCAGAAGAAGTAAAATGCGCTTGACCACGCATCCTTGCCATCTTTTCTAAGACAATTTGCTTTCCATAAAGGCGAAAGCATAAATCATTGATATGACCTATTCTTTTACAATAAGAACACCATCGGTTATCTCTCTTAGGTCTACAAGAGGTACCATCATAAAATTTTAAAAAAGAACTCATTTGAGAAGAGGCCATACTGCACAGAAAATGGTTAAAGAAAAGCTCCAAGAAGCCAAAAAATCACAAATAAATACCAAACGATGTCCGATCAAAGAGAGGATCATAGATCCAGAAAGAGGATGAGGAGAAGATCAGAAAACTTTTTGGCCGGAGCTGGAAAAAGTGTCCAAAACGCGATGAACAGTAGCGGCCTTGTGTTGTTTTGGGAAGATCCGGTCGTCAAACGATTATAACACGTTCGTAAGCTGATAGATCAGAGAAAAAGGATTTGAAAACTGGTCCTCTTGGTCCAAAAGGTCCACCGGAAAATTTTTCCGGTGGCGGCTAATGGCGGCAAGAGGCTAAGAAAGAAGGTTTCTATTTTAACGGAGGTAATTGCAGAAGCAGAGCCCTCTGGATCGAGAGCTCTGATACCAACTTGAAAGAAAAGGGTATTTGAAATATTATTGAATTGTGTATAATCTGTACAAAGGGTTATCTATTTATAGAGAATACTTAACCTAATTTTGACCTAATGGGCTTGGCCCAATACAACAAATAAATGACTAAATAATAACTAAATAATAATTATTTACAAGAGAGACTCATCACACTTGAGTAGTCCAACAATTGTGTTGATTAATCATTAACCACAACAACTCTAAGGAATAATAAAAAGCATGTTTTGGTCCATTGTTTCTTCTGACTATTCAGCGTGTTCAAAAATCTGGGTAGTTTTGTTTCTCGATGCATAAAATAATGCATTCAGTAATCATCTGCAATCTCATGCATCAAGCCACTCCTTCATCAAAACATATCCCAATCTTTCACAATTGCAAAAAGGAAACCATAATATAATTAAACGAGCAGGCACATCCTGTTTAAATGCAAGCACTTGATCATTATTTATTTGAATGACTTTTCACAGCCTAACATCATGAAGATGTTCAGAGATTTACATTTCTTCAGCAAGGAAAATCTGAATTGCACATTTAAACAAATAAGAATCCCGTGCAATATTACGAAAATCCTTACAGGTTTGCTGGACATTGTAGATGTCACTGACGGTTTGAGCTTCAACCCTTGCAAAAATCTCGAATAAAAATATCGTTAGGCATAGTTTTGAGGGACTCATTTCTGTTGAAGAAGTTGATTCATCCATTGAACTAATGTAGAAGTTTTTTTTGTTAAAATCCAAAAAAGATGTTAAAATTATTCATATGAGAAAATGCTTGCACTGATTATATAATATGTTGCCATTCGGATTACGGGGTACCTCACCATATAATCATAAATAGCTTTTAAACTCAATATGGGTAATATCTACACTTGGTGACTTATCTCGGTAATCATAAATGACACATGAAATTGGTACCTCACCATATAATCATAAATAACTTAAAACAAACTTACCCAGTACCACCTTTCAGAGAGGTTTAAAGCCTTAATCCTGGACCCGCCCCGAATCGGATTAGTTGCGAAGCAATGAACCGATTGGAATATTTAAAAAAAAAAGAAGAAGTTGTGTAACGTCAATCCCAAACGCTTCACACATAAATGTATACTTATGTTTTTTCAAAGATTCTTTTTAAGAGTTTAATAATGACTTTAAAAGTTCCCAAGAAATTGTTAAATATCGAATATGTTTACTACAAAACAGAGTTCAACAGCAGCAAAAAATAAAGTCATTATTCAACCTCATCAGTCACAGTGCATCATGTTTCTGTCTTAAACCTCATCCCTCACTGTTCTATCACTCTATACCAAGAAGAATATTTGTTGCACGCACAAGCAAAAAATTTTCCCTTGCAATGCAAAGAAAATCCTTACAACTTTGTTTGATGTTGCATATGTCATGGATGTTATGAGCTGCCACCCTTGCAAAAATCTCTAATAATAACTCGTCTGGAAGAGTTTCGAGTGACTCATGCCTCTGCTTCTCAACCCTTTCCCGCTTTGTTGAAGATGATTCAGCCATTGACTCAATGTCGAAAGTCAAGACAAACCATGTTTTGCAATTTTTCTATGCCATAAGTTAATAAAGGCTTCTATATAAAAGGAACATTTATACTCCACATTGGGAACTAAATCATTAATTATAACCATCAACCCTAAAATACAATTTGATTTCATTAAGATGACGACTTATCGTTTCTAATGCAGAAATATAGAGGCTTGCAAGGTATGGAGTTAAAGTATATCGACCTTCTCGAAATGTGTTTTAAAAAAAAAAGTTTCACGAAAGACAAACGCGGATATGTTAAACTTCAAAGAGACTAAAGCTACAAAACTAAACCTTTTTTTGAAGTCGACAACTTTTGGTACATTGGAATCCAAGAAAATCCTTGTCGTATACTTTGTATTTGTTATTCCAATTTTACCTATATAATTTAGAAGACGATAAAGTGGGAAACATAGAGAGACAATTAGAGTATGACACTATTAAAAAAAATCAACAAATATAAAAAAATACCCTTAAAACTTTTTATCCTTGCAAGCTGGACTATTATCACGTTCTGAGCAGACTGATTATTTGCCAAGAACGATTGCGCTTCATCCACATATTGTTCCCACAAAGTGCACTCAAGCTTGTGACCCCTATTTGTTAGAAGAGATTGCATAAATTACTTTAATTTAACGAAATGGAACTTAACAAATAACCAATAAATATTCTACAGATATAAAATAAATATCAGAAATTGTCAAGTTCTAACATAACCATTTTTATTTTCCTACCGGAGACTACATGCTCACGAACTTCCCCAATTCCTGATAGTAAACCGATGACGTCTACAGAACAAAGAAACTGGACAAATGATAATCTTATCATCACCGATCCATACGAAAAAAAACACCAAGATGAAAAATATATTACCCACTAAATAAGGAGAGTCTGGCGATTCTTTTTCAATAATGTCAAAATCAACAAAATCGAATCCATTGGCAGGAATAGTTGCATCAACAGTGGATTTAACATCCGTCTTCAAGTTGAAAGATAGACGATAACCATGCCTGGTTGGCCTGAAATTATCATTGTTTAACCCAACTCCAATTTTTTTATTATAAAATATACTTCTCCTTCACGAATTTTTTTTCGCACTTGTAAAGAACCTTTGACAGTAGCATAGATCCTTCCACCCTACAAAACATAAGCATCAACATATTCGACAAAAATCAAATCAAATGACAACAGAGATGCAAAAACAAATCGAAAAGCACTACCTGTTCATCCAACAAAACCATCTCAACATTGTCATCAAAATCCTTTGTCTGAAAATTAGGAACCTTCCAAGTCCTAACCACCTTAACCTTAATCCTCCACTTATCCTTGGTAGGATTAAGATCCTTGATCAAATCATATTTTGAGTACATATCGATTTGCATATAAGATAACACAGAAGAAAACATATAGGGGCAATTATTGGATTAAAAATAGAAAGAAGATGACCACCAAATGAAAATATATAGTGAGAGGAATCCTATTTATACAGGAATAGGAAGTGTACAGGTCACTATTATTATTTTTTATATATTAAAAACTATTTTTTAAAGGTTCGAATAATTAATACCATTCACAACAACCAATGTAGAAAGTAATAGGATATTAATACACATGCATGCAAACAATAAATGATGATGATGCCAATTTGAAATTTGAATTAATCTGAAATTGATTTTTGAATTATTTTATTAAAATGGAAAAATAAAATTACTAAAAGAAGAAACATTTTAAATTGCCTCAAGTGTGAACACAAAGTTGAAATTGAAGGAGAGAGCGACACATCATCATACTTGCAAATGATGTTTATTACTTTTATATATTAATAGATTTGGAACACATTGGATCCTACTTACCACTTAAATTAATTGTCGTTAATTGGTGTAAAAAAAACCTTTTAAATTTGACTGCTTGCATGTTTTATGGTTTTGATCAATATACTTTGTAACTGAAATTTATTGATAGTAACATAACATTTCTCTAGGTTGCTAAACTAGTGTTTGTTAATTTGATTGTTGGATAGATATAAGAAAAAACTCCAATTTTACCTTTTAAAATTTAGCAAGAGATAGATATAATAACCCTAATTACATGAATTTTAAATTAGAGGGTTATGATGAGGACCTTATGGTCATAAATAGAATGAGAATGAAATTCTAAGAATTTGGATACCCATATTGAGGGTATTCCAGTCAGGTGAATTTTCATCTGCTGTTTTTGACTGCTGACGCAGTAATAGACTGTAGAATAGCTCCAGTACAATGAATTTAAGTTAGAGAGCTATCCTAATGATATGAATATCATAAATGATGTAAGCATAAGATTTGATGAAGTTTGATACCTATATTGAGGGTATTCTGAACAGTTGAGTTTTCAGCTGTTGTTTAGAATAGCTCCAATCTAGCAAATTTGAGTTAGAGAGATAATCTAATGATATAAACATCATGAATGAGGTTAGTATATGAAATGGTGAAGATTGATACCCATATTGGGGTACTTCTGAAAAGTCACTTTTGTCGGATATTTTGTGCTGCTGTAGCAGCAACCGGTAGAATCTCGGAATGGAAAAAATATGAAATAATGGAATGAAAGCCTAATATATGCCTAACAAGTAATAATTAGACCAAAAATGTTAAAGTTAAGAAGATTATGAAATATGGGTATAGTTAAGAACACCGTTAAAGACTATAGTGCAATTAAACAGCTGTAAGTGGATCTGTGAACTACTAATCAAATTAAGTTAGTTAGAGTCTTGGGTGTTTTCGGGTAAAAATTTGATAACAGTTCAAAGAAAAATTACATCGGGTGTCACTAAATGACAGAAAGCCACTTAATGACATAACATAAACCCTAAAAACATAAGGGACCCTTCCCCTCATTTCTGATCAGGACCCTAGCATCCCCTTCTCTCTCTAAGTTTGATTTTTCAAATTTTCTCCACATTTTCTCTAAGATTCCACCACCAAAACTCCATCCAATCACCAAACACTCTTCACAAAACTTGTTCCCCTCATCCTCTTCTTCAAGAACATACCATTTTTGTTCTTGAAAGCCAAAATTTCGTGGTGCATACCCCTCCATATAGCAGCATTTTCTTGGTTTTTTCAAGCCATGGTGTTGGTGCTTTGAGTTCTCTTTGAAGAACCTCACTTTGGTGCCTACTTCCCTAAGTTCTAGTGTAAGTTTTCTTCTTGAAAAATCCCACCTTTATGTTGTGTTCTTGATTTCTAACCATAAGTTTTCTTAAAGGTATGTTCTTTGTGGAAAGAAAGCATGCTTGCTTGAGAAAGATGGGAGCTTGAAGCATTGGAGCTCATTTGAAGATGTAAGCATGAAACTTTGAAAAAATGGTGACAAAAATCCCACCACCACCATCTAAACAATTCAGCCATCATGAGTTCTTAAGGGGGTTGATGTGTTTGATTGATAAAAATTGGTTCTTGAGGTGTGTGGACAATCATGAGTAGGACCAAGGAGAAAGGTTAAAAATGCAACATTTAAGCTTAAAAATGCTAATCTAGATTAAGGAATGGATTTAAACTCTAATGACTCTATTATATCAAATCTGTCCTAAATAGTATAATTAGAGTTTTATGTTTAAAATTTAATTAAATGATGGATTAGTGGACTAATTAAGTGTAGTACTTAATTAACTAAAGAAAAGGTAAAGTTAACAAGTTAAAAACCTAGTTTGTATAACCTAAACAATTTGGCCACCTAAGGATCAATTAGGGTTAGTATGTTAAATATTGATTTATGACCTAATTAGGATACTAATCTAGGGTTTAAGTGAAGTGGACCTTGCATAATGTATTAATTAACTATAAAAAAACCCTAAAATGGACCTAATGAGGGTTTAGAAACACTAATTATGTAATTAGTGAACCTAATGAACTAAGACCTAATGTGACTATGTGAGAATGCATAAGTGACCTAATAATAGAAAAATCCTAAAATTAAAGTGACTTAGAGTTTCTAACCAAAGATAATTACGATTTGCTAATTAAACACACTTGGGGTTAAATGACCAATTTTTAGGCTAAATTTGGGAGAGCATATCTCCCTCCACAGAGGTCCTATATGGATGTGCCATACATTATTTTGAAGCTTGAGATTTCAGCTATGTAGTGTCAAAATTTGATACCATTTGAAGATGTGTAGCATTCTGTAGGTGCGATTGAGTAGAGACTTCCTAGGGAGGCCATGTGTAGGGGTTGTAGGTGGCGGCATCTTCCACGAATTGTTTCTCCCTTAGTTATTACTCAAATTAGGCTCATGATATATAAAATTAAAGCTGAATGTGTATAGTTTTCTGTATAAAAATTTGAGAGCAATTGGTTTAGTAGATTTTCCATAATCGCTAAAATCGTGAGGGATGTCTGGGGCTCTGTTTGGAGTTGGCAGGCAGTTTTGTTAGTCCAACTTCAAACGGTGATAACCGGAGCTAGAAAACTCCAAATGAGGCATGTGATACCTTGTTGGAAATTTAATTGAGTCTAGATTAACATAATAAAATATGAGAATGTTATAACAAGTGGGTTGCACACAGTGACTAGAAAACAAAAACATGTACAGTTATAGGAAAACCGTAAAAGTGAGATTTAGGTTAAGTGAGTTTATGGGAACCCTTAGTAACTTATAATAAGTAATGTTCAAGGTTATGAATGACATATATTGATGATAAATGTTTTGGTTAGTTGTAAGCTAAGTGGAAAATTCCTTAATCTAAGAGAATTCATTAATGGACTAAGTGTCTAATGAGTATTGTGGACTTAGTGAACAATTCTTTATGCACTAAAAACATGTAATTAAGTAATAAATGGTCTAGACTTGTAATGGGCATATTTATGGCATATAAGTATAAAATGTGGAATCATTAAGTGATTTAGTATTAATGATGTAAATGATTCCTGCTCTAGGTTTGCCTAGAGGACTTGACACTTGAGGATTTATTGGAGCATACGTGTTTTACTGTTGGACTTGGGCTTGTGATAAGCTCAGTGAGGTAAGGTCCTAGTTCTGGTTTCTCCTCTCTCTTGTGGCCCCACCATGATGGTGGGAATTATGGTTGTATTGTATGAAAGTACGTGGTATGATATATATGTGCATTCATTCACATTCATATAGATGTTATGTGATTCTTGATGTTATGATGATGGACTGATGATATATGTGTATTCATTCACATTCACATTCATGTAGGCTGCCTATGACTTGACTCTGGGAGCTATTTCATACTGCGGTTGTGTTGACTGTCTATGGCTTGACCCTGGAGTCATATAGGTGTAACCGTCTGACTTTGACCCTGAGGTTACAACAAGTTGAAGAAATTCGGTGCAAGTAAATTTGACGTTAGTGATGTCCTCAATTGAATGAGAGGCCACCTTTTTGAAACAGTTTTATAAAACAGTTTTCCATGTCACACATCACCATATTTGAATTCCATTGCAGAAAATAGCGTTAATTTAATATATCAAAATTAGTTAGAATATGGACATCACATAATATACACAGTGCTTGAAGTAAACATAGTCAAACATCACAAAATGATAAGAACGTTCAAAAAAATGTTACTTAAACAAAAAACATTGCGACTGTTGAGTGATCATTACAACAAATTTTGGGTGAACAAATTATTTTCGAGACACAAAACAATCTTCCTCAGCCACAGTTGCCCAATCTATTGGGTATTCTCATCTGCATCAAATCTATTTAAAAGAAAAAAAATCAATTATGAGTACATTCAAGATAAGAACAATGATCATTTTTTTCCTTTTGTAAGAATAAAACTACAAATATAAATTAGAAACTACATAACTCTTTTTCAAGCTTTATTTTTTTCGTAGTTCGAACAGCTGAACAATTAAATTCCTTAGCAATGGAATCATGAGAATTAATCACCGGAGTCAACACAGTCAGAGAAATATCACCAACGTCAGTACTATCACAGGTCTGACTCTCAACATCCTATGTTATCAAAATAAAAATGGTACGTCAAGTAATTATGAAAATATATTTTTTATAACATCAATTTAAATTCAAATAATGGGTTACCGCAGCCTTTTCTGGTTCTGATGATACAATTTCATTTTTGCGAGCATTATCAAAATTTGCTTCATCCTGTGATATACAACAACCAACAACAGTCAAAAAAATGAATAAGAAAACAGGATATCTCAGACAAATAAATCAGCAGCGTACATTTGGGTCGATCAGAGACTTAAGGAATGCTGTAATTATTTCTTCACTAATACAAATCTCAGAAACTTGATATTTTGACTCACTGTATGAGTTCAAATCTTTTTGCTTCACATTAATTTTAAATAGAATTGACTTCTCATTCAGAACTTTTAGTTCTTCTGGAAATTGTTCCAAATCCGCACCATTAAAAAAATTAAAAATTAAGCAAGAAAAAAGCAGGACACAAAATGTTATGTGT